AATAATAATAATAATTCTCCATTATAGTCTAGAATTTTTCTTTTCTTTTCTAAATTTCCCTTTTGTTTTTCTTAAGTGTTTGAATGCTTTCTACTTTTATAATTTTTTATTCTTACCTTAAAAATTTCGACGTTGTTTTCAGCTTCATTTTCTATTCTCTGTATAAGCCATTTATTCTTGTTGTAATTTTATGTGTTTTACTTATGTTTTATGTATGTTTTGTCTGTAGAATGTTTGTTCTACTCTCATGTGCCCTGAATACGGCGGGACGAGGTATAAATAAACAATACATTTGGTAGCATAAATTAATAATCACTTTTTTAACATTAAGTATGAACTAAAGACTCCAAGAGTGGAATAAACTTTACACATTCGGAAGCATAAATTTATGTTCCGCAGTCAAATATCATATTTACAATAAATCATTATTACAATAAATTATATATATATATATATATCATATTTAAAAATATCAGATACCTGTAATTCACCATCATTCCACATGAGTTGTCTAAACCACGTGGTGAGAGGTCTGCTTCCCAGTTTAGACGCCAAAGAACAGCTCCATTTCTTAAATGAAAATGAGCTAAAATAACAGAAACAATCAAATTATAAGAATATTTTATTACAAAACAAAATAAGTTTCAGATGCTCAAAGTAGATTTTAATTACATGGCAAAAATACTTATAAAAATTTATTGGTGATAAATATTAACAATACATAACTGCCACCTTGTACAGTTAAAGTTTTAAAAAAAATTGTTTTATCCACCAGGAAAAATTAATAATTCAAACATACATGTTGAAGCTGATACCTAACAAATTTCCTAGCTGATCTGTAGATTAACTAGGGTGATCCACTAAAGTGTGAATTGAGAGTTTTCTGCAATTTCGTCAACTAATTTGCTGATTATTTAATTGTATTGACTTGATTCTTTAGATACCGAAAAATAAATGAAGGATAATATGTTCATTTCCTTAATTGTAAAAACATTTTTAACTGTTTGATTCTTTATATTATAGTTTTGAAGTGATTGATGATTTATTTTATCGATTAATGTGTTAATCATTTTATTTTATTTTATAACTATCGTTGAACAGCCGATCTAATTTTGGGTTTACACTCAAATATTCACCTCCGTACTCTTGTAATTTTGAACCCTATCCAATAGACATGGGGACTCCCTGCTCAGGTTTTGGGAGAAATTAGCCTTTGTGGAGGGCTTTTTGATGGACCGACTCAATTTTCGGTTTAAGACTTCCAATGTTCAACTCTGTTGCCTTGTAATTTTGAACCCAATCCAGAATACAAGGAACTCCTGGATTAATTATTGGGAGAAATTTGCCTTTGTGGAGGACTTTCTGATGGAACTAACTCGCATTTGCACGATATGGAAAAGAAAACCACGTGAACCTCCCATGGTTAGCCTGATGGCAAGGGTACTCTACCCCATGATCTGTCTACCACTGAGCATATTTGGCATCAGCATTGTGGTCGGTGCGAGTCGGGTGCAGAATTCGTATAGAATAGCCATCACTGGGATTGCAACCCGGTTCCATTGGAAGACGAACACTCTATCCACTGAGCTAACATGGCTTTAATCGTTTGATTGTAATAACGTGAGCTTTTAGATAACAAAAAAAATAAATAAATAACTTTATGTTAATTTAAATGTACAAAGATGTTGTTGTTGTTACACCAAAGATTTTATTTTCACTTTAACGATGGCCTACTAAAAAATGTGTAGATTACCAAAGCAGTTGGCAGACTACCTAGGTATTTCAAGAACTGAAACAATATTTTGGCACTTAAGCGAATTACCCTAGTAAATCTGTTCATTATCAAGGTAATCTGTATAATTGATTCCTGCATTTTAGAATATATATATATATATATATATATACATAGCCTATTAATCAGGTAGTTAGGATTTTAAATGCTGGCATAGTATGTTAATTTTCAAAAAATTCTTCTTCATGCTATACTATTTATTATTTTACTATTACTTTATAAAATCTTTCCTAATAAAAGAACTAGCAGGTATTAATGACAAGAAAAATAATAAAATTATGAACAACATTATAATATACATTGCATACAAAGATATTTGGATGCCTCGAGCAAACTCCTCGATTAGTTTTTTTTGTTGTATAACCGTCGTTGAACAGCCAACCAAACTTTCGGGTTTACGACTGCTAATGTTCAACTATGCAGCTTTGTAATTTTGAACCCAATCCAGAAAACAAGGAAACTCCTGGATCAAGTATTGGGAGAAATTTGCCTTCGTGGAGGACTTTTTTAAGGAACTAACCCGCATTTGCGTTACATGGAGAGGAATACCACGTGAACCTCCCACGGTTAGCCTGACAGCAAGGGGACTCTAACCCATGATCCGGCTACCACTGAGGATATTTCACATCAGCACTGTGGTTGGTGCAAGTCGGATGCAAAATTCGTATCAACTGGGATTCGAACCCGGTTCACCTCATTGGAAGGTGAACGCTTTATCCCCTGAGCCATCGCGGCTCTTGATTAGAGGTTTATTTTAGATACTCCTGGAAAGAAAAGTAAAATCGTTATGGGAACCAAATTTAGTTTTAAAAAAAAAACATAATTGAAAAGAGAAATCTAAGCCCATATTTTAAATTCTATTTATGTAAGGTAAGTGTATATTACTCTAAAACTTTTTTTCCCAAATGGAAGGAGTATTTAAATTGTAATGATCTAAAACTTTATTATTAAATCTAAATCATGCAGTTTTATTTATGAAATATTTTGCTCGAACCAAATATTTACCTGTTAATAAATTTACTTCATAACGAAAATAGTAATAAATTTAAAGTTTTAAGAGTTCTACTATTCAGTGGTTCCTAATTTTTATACTAAATGATCCAGCTTCTTTCTACAGAAATCCAACACTATAAATAAAGTTCATTGACACCTATGAATAAATATATGAACTAAAGAAAGATTACTAAGTATTTTGAAAATAATTAATGCAAAAATTGAAGTTTTTTTTATTGTTTAAACAATTTAAAATTAGATTTCATGTTAAGGTATTCAAATTCGCAGTTCTGGAGTGCCTTTCATTCTAGTTCTGAATTTGATTCTGCTGTATGTGTAAGACAAAAATGAATAGAATAAGCTGAATTGGTTTTCTAAAAAAAATTGTTACAAACGTTAAGAAACGTTAATCAAAAGAACATTTATATTTTTATTTTGAGTTGAAAAGCGTGATGCAAAATACTAATAAAATTTTTAATAAATGCATATCCTTTTCATATTTTACTCAATATATCATTGGATTATTTTTTATATTTTCTATTTTTTTGCATTGACAAGCAAGCAATAATAATGAAAGTATAATATTTCTTAAAATTGTAAACAAAAATGTAGCAAAAATGTTCACACAACTGAAATAGTAAAACAAAACAAAAAGGGCATAGAGATTTTAAAAATTTGAATCCATTTTTAAATGTTTATTTGAAATTTCAAAGATAAAAAAAAAAAAATTTATCAAAATACTTCAAGTTAAATAAATTATTCATTGGATATAAATAAAATTACAAGTTTCAAACATCATAATTGGTGAGAAAAAAAATCTGAATTCTCAAAAGCTCTAGGGTTTCATAAAACACCTTTTGGGAACTACTGGTCTATTGAATGCCCTGTCTGGCTAGATGCCTAGAGCTGAAGTNAAGAATAAAAAAAAAAAAATTATCAAAATACTTCAAGTTAAATAAATTATTCATTGGATATAAATAAAATTACAGGTTTCAAACATCATAATTGATGAGAAAAAAAATCTGAATTCTCAAAAGCTCTAGGGTTTCATAAAACACCTTTTGGGAACTACTGGTCTATTGAATGCCCTGTCTGGCTAGATGCCTAGAGCTGAAGTACCCCACTCTACATGCCACTGGGTTTTTAACTTACCAACACTGTTTAAGGCATTATTTCTTCTCTTTTCTTTGTAAAGGTAATGAGCACAGGTTTTCATCAGTGGAAGTTGAAGTGCTTCTCGCAACTGTTCATTAACTATCCATTTGTTCGATGCTATAGCTACATTCAGGGCATTCCACACTTCAGAAGATGTAACATTAGAAATTATGCTTCTTACATTTTGAATGTCTTGTTCGGAGAAGAAGCTTGTAATTATAGAAGTTCCTGGAATAAAAAAAACTTTTAAGAGATAGAATTCCTTATGCTTAATATGAAGCTTTGGACAATTATTAGTAACAGAGTTATAAAAGAATAGTTGGAAATAAACAATAAAATTTTTTTCCCCACCTATTATGTGAGCAAATAGCACAAATTTTCTGAACATTGCATACAAAGATGTAGTAACCACTCAACTTACATAAAAAACAAAATGTTTAATCCGTTGGGACCATGTTTTACAGATTGCGGCTACCCCCTATATTTTTGGGGGTTAAAAATCCGAATTCGATGAAAAGAAAGGTAAGTTTATTCAGAGAAAGCACGCTTTTGTGTCTGATTTCATAATTTAAAATATTATTTGCACTTATTAATTAGCATATTTGAGGTCACTCTCTCAAACCATTGAGCCCTAGAATGTGAAAATCTGATCATTAGATCAAAAGTTATTCAAGATGGTCCGTTTTTATTTGGCACACTGTACATTCATTGCTTTTATTGGGTTCAACTCGAGTCGTGTCCTCAAACAAACCTGGAATAACACATTTTATTTCAATGATATGCAATGCGTTTAAATCGAAGTCACAACTTTATGAATTAAGTATTGCGGCTTGGTTAGCCACCAACGTTTAGACAACATAAAGTATTTTTAATGGTGTTTAAATTTGCCATTTAAAAATTCTCTTTCTTCTCCGAAAGAAAAGTACTTTTAAAAGTAAGAAACTTTTTACAAGTCAAGAGGAGAGTTAGACAAGAATAGGTAACAACATTTACAAATATTTAATTTAAATTAACATAAAAGATAGAAATAAGTTGAACAATAAATAAATAGACTGAAATATTTTTTTAAAAATAATATTTAAAAAAATAATAACATTGCATTTCTTTTGAAGTTTTAAAGTTAAGAATAGAAACAGAAAGTATTAATAAATGAATAAAAATTATTGAAGTAGTATTCATAAGTATACCGTAATAAATTATAACTTATTTGGACAATATCTGAATGACAATGCTGAGAAAGAAACTTTATAATTAATTTACCAATGAGTAAGAACTAATACTCAAAATAAGTTTTACCAATTTTGTCATGTGTCAAAATGTTTCATGTAATACGTGTTTTGTGTCAAAATATATTTCAAAACGTTAATTGCGCAAGAAATTCTGTTTAATTTAAAATTTCAATTTCCTAGCTTTTATTTCAAAAAAAAAAATTATTATTTTTTTTAAAAAATTTTATCATTATATTTTCCATTCTAAAATGTAAATTTTTATGAGGAAGTATATTTTAAATCGGTATCAACTCTAAACATAGACAAAGATAATAATTTTATTGAGATGAAGAAATAACTGGTATTTTTAGTTAACACTCAATCAATATAAATTTTAATACTCCATTTTTTTAAAAATTAAAATATTGTAAAATAAATAGCTGCCCTATTGTCCTGGTAACATATGCTTATAAATGTAATTACTGAAATAAATAACATTAAATTAACACAAATAATTTTTAAGTATTTATGTAAGAGAAATAACAGTGAGTATTTAAAAAAAATTAGCTAACCATTTTTCAATTTACGTATCTCCAACAGCAACCAGTCTCGGAAACCAGGAATGGGAGATAAAGATGAAAATTTACTAACGTGTGGGAACTCAGACAAAACCTCTTGAACAGCTTTCTTAATTAACTGGTTTCCTAACTCAATACCATGTAAGCCTGCAATGAAAAATTGTTTTTTTTTTTATTATACAAAATTAGCTTGAAATGAGAAATACACAAATAATCATAGGAAAAATACTGTACCTATTGACTCAAACTATTGTTACTGTTTTAAAAACTTGTACGCTAGTCTGCTTTATTTAAGGTTTTGTCATTACATGAAAGAACACGTTTCAGCATGTATTTATAACTGCTGTAATATTTTAGCTATTATTATATCTGCTGTGAGTTTTTATGAGCTATTTCTAACAGGGTGCTTAGCCAAATCTTTCAACAAAAATAAGCACCTTTTAAGTACTTTTTAAGCACTCAAAAAATATTTTTAAGGCTTATATACATTTATAAAATGCAAAATAATTTTCAAAGGTCTTACATGATCAAGATAAAATAACGTTTCTGACAAAGAACTCTTTTCTTGATTATATTGGCCATTATAAAATGATCCTAAGAGATTTTTCAGTTCAATATTAGAGGGCCTTAAATTGAGAATATCTTGCAAAATGCAACAGAATTGCAATTCACGGAATCCAGCTCAGTAGACATACTCGCAAGTATTTCATCAAACATGTAATATGATTGGCACTTACATACGCTATGGACGGACTGTGCACCAAAATAGATTGTAGAATGAATTGTGAAAACGTAGAATAGAACAATGTGAAAAGCACGCTTTCTGACAGTATTCTTAATGATAATTATGAAAATGGCACAAGCTATAGTTTGGTATAAAAGCATTTAAAATCTAATTTTTCTCGCATTTCAAAAATTTATACCACCATTGCATTGTTTTAATCTCACAAAAACAAGTAAAAATTATGAATTTTTCATTGATTTTAGTAAAATGTCTTTAAGAGGAAAAGTGTAGCAAAATTGGCCATCATATTAGAAATAAAAGTTTAAATATAGCGAAATTTGTTAAATTTAAACATTTACTTCGAGTTTAAAACTTTCAAACAATGGCTTTTTAATCATTTTTTTTCGGTGGTAAAAGGAGTAAATATCATCTCTAAGCAAAATTTCATAGTTTTCTTCAAAATTTACATAGATCTTGCAACATTTTGTTTTAAAATTAAAAAGAAATATTCTGAGTAGTGAAAATACAATTTTTCACTGATTATATATCAAAAATTAAAGTAGGAAATAATCCTAAAATCGAAATCATTGAATCGTAAAATAGTTGTTTAAATTATAAGAATATTTTCTTTGATGTTTTTTTTCCTTCGAATTTTATATTATCGCATTTCCTTTGCCATCCTTTGTATCTTGATTATTGATTTTTTCCATAAATTTTTGATAGTATGTTTCAACAGTCAAACGTTTATTGATTTATAAAAGTATGTGCATTTAAAAAAAATTTGTAGATGTTAAAAATACGCAATTAATTTTACACCTTCATAAATAATTTAAACTCAAGTGGTACATTAAAGCTTTCTTTATTTGGAAATGGTATATGAAGTAAAAATTGTTGGGAACACTGGTATAGTAGGTAGTAGAGGCACATTTGCAGCTTTAAGCTTTTTAGAATAATTTTAACTTACATTTTTTATTATTTTCATATATTCAATATAAAAGAAAATAAAAAATAATGATTTCAAATCCTTACATTTAAGTTGTGTGAGTGAAAAAAAAGACAGAAAATTGTTTCAATTAACACTCACTTCTACAGCAAAACTGCTATAAATTTCTCTATAACTTCAAATATAGCCATAGCAAAATTTTATTAAATTTGATAATATTATTAAAAAGTATTAAAATAATTTAATTACTTATTACAAACTGTCAAAAGTTTATTAAATCTTAACTATTTAATGCATAAATAAGCTTTAGATATTAGATAATATAAAAATCTTTGACTAGTCAAATGAACAAAAATAAAGCTAGACCACAGGAATGAAGCACAAATAATAAACCCTCAAAAATAGACATACTATAAATTCAGTTCTATGATCAAGGCATATAGTTAATATTGAAACACAGAATGAGGGAAGGAAAAAAGGACATGCTTGAAAGACAAATTACATGCTTGTATGGATGTAACAGAACATGTTACATGCTTCAACATTTAAAAATGTTCTAGTTTTATACAATGAAAATGAAAGAACATATGTCTGTTTTTATGACTTTATTTGTGCTTCATTACATTGATACAGGGGTCCCCAACCCTATGCCCGCGGGCACCATGGCGCCCCTCGATCGATCTTGGTGCGCCCGCTGCTTGTGCCCTACAATAAAATAATTCTTATTTTCCCTTAAAATGCTATGCAAATACATACTGAAGTATGCTGGCTAACTAAAGGCAAAGTACTTGATAGATTTCTACATTTAATTGAAGAAATAAGAAATTATATTTCAAATAAAATATTTTTAGAGTTAAGAGATCCTCTTTGCCTCGCAGATTTATCTCTCCTAACCGACATAATGGAAAAACTAAATAATTTAAACTTGGAGCTGCAGGGAAAGGACAAACATATAGCAAGAATGACAGGGGCTCGTTCAGAGATAAGTTATTTTTGTGTACATCACATTTGAAAATGAAGTCTCTTGTGCATTTTCCAAACATAAAAAAATGATAGGTGACAGTGAAATTGGCTTATCAACGCTTCAAGATCAATTTAAAAAGCGCTATCAACAATTTAATATAATCGAGCCTTTGATCACCTTTTTTGTAAATCCTTTTACCAACCAAATAAACGTACCGTAATAGCAACATACATTTCAGAATTTCTTCAAGTAAGGCGAGAAGAAGGGAAGAAAGAAGTTTTGGATCTTCAGGATGACATTATCCTCAGAACTATTATATCAGATGAGAAATTCTGTAATATAGTTGACTGAAATAAATTCCATTCTTAAAAGAAGCAGTATGGTGCCATGCTACTCAAAGAATTCTAATCAACGGTGTGATTAAGGAATTTTAATGGGACAAAGGACATAAAATTGTAAGTTACAAGTCACAAAACAACACAAAATGAAGCATTAATACAATCAGGGAGAAAACAAAACTTAAGTGGGGGTGAATTCGGACCCTACATGCTTTCGGTTCGAGAGATGGAGTTAAACTAACTTAGAACTGCTCTATTTGAGTCTCTTTAGTGTTCATAGATGGCGTTGGCAGGGGGTTTCGATTGTCACAGCAGCATATAAAGTAAAGTCGTTTTTAGGTTCCACATACTTGTTTGAATCATTGTTTTCGATAATGAATATCATAAAATCAAAATATAGATCCCGACTTACAGATGAACACCTTGACGATTGCCTGCGAGCAGGAATTTCATCATATTCTCCCAATTATGAAGCGCTGGCCAGTGAAATGCAATTAATATCACATTAACTGCATTTCATATATTTTATAAATAATTTTTATGCTTCGTATGTTTTGAAAGCAATTTAGCAATAACTTATTTTACACAAGGATATTAATACTATTTATATTCATATGGTAAATAAATTTTTAAAATTAAACTTTTTGTTCATTAGGGGAGTGTCGGGTACCCCCGCCTACTGTCAATTTCATATGGATAGAATATTTTTTCAAGTCAATGGGCCATCGGACATTAATTGTTATATTAAAAAAAGATTATTTTCAAAGTTTCAAGTATTTATGCAGCTGGTAACATGGTAAATAATAGTTTTGAAAATTTGTTGAATACAGTAGTCAAATTTTTCAATTTCTATTTTTTAAAGTTAAACTATTCTTTTTTTGGTTTATTCTTTTTGTATTATTTAATTAGATGATAAAACAATAGAAACATACAAAAATATTGATTATTACTCAATATTAGACAGAAATATAAGCAATACTCCTTAACTGGGCGGGGCTACCCGACTCTCCCCTATATGTAGCATGTATAATTACTATGTCTATCAACTATAAGTTTATCTTGAAAAAATAAATGGTGCCCGCCATTCGACCGATATTCTGGTATTTGCTCTTAGGTACAAAAAGGTTGGGGACCTCTGCATTGATATATAGCAAAAAGTATAGCCTTCTTTAGTTAAGATAGGAAAATATACCTTTTTGAGTAGATGTAATGGAATAAAAAATAGCAGCTTGTATATTATTTGGATCTTCTTTTTCACATTTTGATTGAGAAATAACTTTATCATTCAAATGTTTCCTGTCTTGTCGCACAAATGGCTGAAATAATATTATGAACATAAGATTTAAACTTTTTGTACCATGAGGAAGTAAATTGCTTTATTGCGATGAATAATATTTTATTGAAGAACTAAACTATAAACTACTGTCAAAGATAAAAGTGGTTATAATTTTTTAAATGTAATGTCATAAATATAATTTAAAAAAAGTGCTGAATGCTTAATAGAAAGGTTAATTTGTATAAGTCAAAAATTTAAAGTTAAAAAGAAAATTTACAAAAAATTATTATTAATGACAGCACATAAAGTATAAAGCATAAATAAAAAGATGGGGGAGCAAAGCACTAAAATTAAAAATGTATTAGTGCTGAGACTCAAAAATAATGTCTTAGCACTGATGACAGTTGCACTTCTACCTATTACTTTATAGATAGAGTATAACTAAAGAGATTTATAATCTTGTGTTAGAAAAAAGTTTTTTTTAAAAAAATCAAATTAATCTAGAATAAATGACCATAATTGTGCTTTATGAAGTAGGCAAGCAATCAAGCCTTTAATTTATCAAACATTGATCAATCCGCAGAGATAAAAAAGTAGGGGAGCACAGATCTAGAATATGCAACCAGACTTTACAAAGATATGCTATTCATCAATAAACATTAAAAGAAATTATGATTCAATAAACTTAATAAATTTGAATTTAAAACATATTATTGAATATTTTGAAGCAAAGTCCAGCCTCCAAACTTTGGAATAACGCTTCTTTTTACAGTTATTGCAGTCTTTATTTAACATAAAAATGCTATGTTTTACATAAGAGGAAATGTAAAGCCATTTTCAAAAATAATATTCTTAGACATAAAAAAGACATAAAGATTAATACGTACTTTAACGCATGATGAGATTTCATTAGTCAGAGCTGTATGCAAAACAACAATGGGTTCTTTTGGCATGCTGTTATGAGTAAAAATATAACATCTTCTATAAGGACCAACACGCTGTTTAATGTCAGTCCAATTTCTAATAGGATGAACAGCTTCATAAAGTGAGATCTACAATAATAACAGTTCAATAGATTTATTCAAATGATACAAAACAACACATAATTATGCACCTGTTATTTTTATATGGTTTTTGACTTTATCTAGCAATAAGTAAATAGTTTTTCCTTATCAGTTCTATTTTAAGATTCTCAGCATAGCATATGCTATTTTCCCAATACCACTATAGGAGTGTCTGTTACTTGAAATTTTTAAACAGCTTTAGGCTATTACTTGTTGAATTGGCTTAAAAAAAAAGTTTTGTTATTTAAAATCACTATGTCCTACTTTTAGACATTTGCTATAGCTCTTTGAAATGCAGCAACTTTTTTAGAAAATTCAGCAAGCCTACAATGAAATTCAAAACATTAGAATATCTAAAAACATTTTGGTTATTTAAATCGAGCATACCAAAAAGAGTTAAAATTAGTTTAAAATATCAGGTCACATACATTTGTCTTTCTTTTGAAGAACTGAGATTCATGTATATTTTGCAGTTTAGCTATGCTGAATCTTCAAATGGAGATTTACCTCAGTATTACTCCTCTATCAAACAGAAGAAAACTGTATACATATCTACAATGTACTTATTCAACACATTTCTTAACCTGAGTTATTTAAAATGAATAATTAACCGGAGGATCTCTCACTGTTATCATTAGATTTATGATACACATATACGTTTCTTTAGAACAATAGGTTTAAGACTGTTATAAATTTTATAATTTATAAGTTAGGAACAAAGCAAAAATATCATATATATAAATATCCCTTTATTTAAACATTCTCTACCAAGGGAAGTACACATCGTGGAAATTCCTATTAAAACAAAGTTTAAATGAAAAAGCATGTTTGAAAAACCTTAGATAGGATACAAATTAGCAGACAGATCTGATTCTGGGGTAAAATATGGCCTAGTAAAGTTTCAGCTAACTTACTAATAGATTAACAAAAACTTTCAAGTTGATGTGTATTTATGGTTAGGTTGTCTGCCTACCAGAGAGATCCATGGTTCAAATCCCAGCTGGGACAATTGAATTTCATCTTTAATATTCTTTTCTAAAAAGTTTGATAACTATTTAATATGTTTTATTCAATTTATGAATTATTATTTCTTAATTTAAACTAATCTTTATAAAATTAAAATTTGCAAAAACAAAAAAATTAATAGATATTAAATTTTTTTTATTTAAATGTTTGGATTATTTTAAAAAAAATCACAATTCAAAATTTAATTTAAAATTTTGTAATTTTTTAAAAAAATATTCCCTATTTTTCAGTTAAAAATAACTAAGCATCTGTTAATTTTTTTGCTTCTAAAAATGTAAATTAAAAAAAAATTAGTTTAAATTAAAAATAACAGTTTATAAATTGAATAAAACATATTAAATAATTATCAACCTTTTAATAAAAAACAAAGAAAAGAAAGTTCAGTTCACCCAGCTCGGTCTTGAACCCCAGACCTCTCTGGTAGAAGGTGGACAGCATAAGCCTAACACCACAAATGCACATTCCTTGTAAATATTCTGTTAGTTTATAAGTAAATGAACTGACACTTCAACGGGGCACATTTCACCCTAGGGGCAGATCTAGTAATTTATGCCTCATCAAAGGTTTTTCAAAACATGCTTTTAAATCTAAGTTGAACTTTTTTTTAAATAGGAATTTTTTAGATACACACTTCCCTTGCAAGTGTAAATGTTATTAATAAAGTATTTAAAATAATTTCATTATCAGCATTATTTATCATAACATTATTTGAAACTAATAACTTGCACAATTAATTTTGACAACAATCTAAACTAAATTATTTATTTATAAGTATGCCACATACCTTTTCGAGCATATTACAGGAAGAATCCCATGTGATCCTTTCCACATTTAGGAATCCAATATTAAAAGAAAATGATAAAATTTCTTTCAAATAATTATTGAGACCTTTTAAATGGTGTGTGGCATCATCATTGTAATCCAGAGAAGGTAAGAATTTCTAAAAACAAATGAGTAAATAAAAAAGAAACTTAATAATAACAAAAAATTAATCAAGATCAAAATAAATGATATGAAAACTTTACAAGAAAAATCGAAATATTCAAAAACTAAAATTAGTGCACATAATGTAAACAAATGCCATTACCATTTTTTAAGCTTCATAAACTCAAGAATTGAAAGCTTTTAGGTGTGGGGTAAGAATTTTACCCTGCTTGGAATTATAATTAGAAAGGAAGTTTCTAAATACAAATAAATTAGCAATTCATAAATAATTTAGTTATGATGCAAATTTGAGAAGTTTTGATAACTTCTCAAGTTATCAAAACTTCTCAAGCTTTCTTTGGAGTGAAACAGGAACTTGTTTGAAACAATCATAAAAAAAAGCTTTTTAATAGCAGACCCCAACATTGTAAAAAAAAAAAAAAAAAAAGATGTGGCAATAGCAATTTGCTAAAATTGGTCTAAAATAATAAATTTTTCTGAATAAATCAGTTTTGCTAAAATAATAAAAGAAACAATTGGAGTAGCAATCATATCTGTAGCCAGCAACAGGATTAGATTGATTAACCCCATAACGATCAGCTAATTTTCAAGAAAACAGTCATAAAAGTGCCTATTCTTTTGGCTTTTGTATTTGTATTACCTATTTGATTAGTGTTGCAACTAGTTTAAAAGAAACTAACTATCCACAATTACCTTAAAAATATCCTGGTACTGTAATCGGGGTAAAATGAGAAATAAAATGTTTCCCAGGCAAAAGAAATGAATTAGTTTTATTCTTATTGGCACGTTACTACTGAACACTCCAGCCCGTCAATATCACTGGATCGAGAAATAGCGGGCGAAAACTCGGCCCATCATTTTTACGGGAGCAAGAAGGAAGGGGTCAATAAAAATTTGTAAATTGATATTTAAGAAAGAAAAATAAATATGCAAATAAAAATGTTTAGAATAGTTTTTCAGTTGAAACTAATCTAAACAGGAGAGTAAAATTATTGAAAGTATAATAAATAAAAGCAAAGAAAATGTAGAAAAAAATCAATAATTTCAGATGATTAAATAATTGATGCTGTGGGGGATGGAATCAAAAATTATCTTTAATAATTTTAGATTCCATCCTCCCACGAAATAGTGCTATAATTTGCTTTTCAGTAAAACATTTTTTGCACTACAACACTGGCCAGCAAGCACTAGCATTGAATTATTTGTAAACTTAAAAAGATTATACGGCTGCCACTAAAAGGGCATTAGTAATTACCAAAGTTTTTACTACAAAGACATTACAATAATATTCTAATTAAAATTTAAAATATTTACTCAGAAACAATTTCAGGTAATGAAGAGTAAAAATAAAATAAAAAATAAACATATATATCATAGCTCAGGACTTTTATTTAAAATTTAACTTCATTACAACGTACGATAATAATAAATAGTCAAAATATTTCCCAAAAATTCCTTGCTAAGTTAAAGGACAAAATAAATACTAAATTTATAATTTTGCTTAAATACATTAAATATCACGACTATAATTAAACAATTTATTATGCCTCTTAAAACAATAAATTTTTTTTTTTAAAATCCAAGAATCAGTTTATCATAACAAAAATGAATAATAACAAATTTAAATCAACTGATTCACGGAAATCAGGGGCAGAAAGTGACGAAGATCGCCCATTAGATTTCTAGCAGCTCGGCAGAAAATAAAACTAAAATGCAAAGTATTTCTGCAAAATAAGAAATAGTTGCACACTTTAAATAGCATTCTGCATCTTATATTATTTTAAATAAATTTCTAAAAATACGTGCATAATATAAAAACATTTTCCAAACACTGGTTATGATGAGTCATATAGACTTATAAAGGAACAATGAGTTTTGCTAATAAAGCTATGAGATTAGAATAAAGCAAACATTGATAAAATAAATATGTCATAAAAAAACATTACCTACAGTAAGTTTGAGAAACTTTAAAGTTAAAGCAAAATCAAATGAAGAAGAAATAAACTTCAGATTTTTAGTTAATTTCGATTAAAATTTAAAAAGATTATTAAGATATTTGACATACGAGAAGATCTTCTCTTAAATCAACCAAAAATTTAACACCACCATCTATTTTGCGTATACGATTGAACGCATAAGCATAATTAGGAGACAAAGTAGACTTGAGTCTGTCAGCAGCTTTGAGTTGCGAAGCTGTTCCTTTATCCTGAAAGAAATAATGACAACATTAGGTTTTGAATAACAAACATTAAAATTTTGTGATTTTTAAATGTTCAATAAGTTTTTAGCATAAACTAAGGAAATTTAAATTTAATTTCTCAATATTTAAATTAAGTCATTAAATAACTCAATAGTTATGTCTAAACAGCAACGTTTCTCAATATTGAGAAATTAAATCTCAATATTTAATTTCTCAATATTTCTTCCAGAAACTCCAAAATATAATGTACATTGAGAACAGCTTAGCATAAAAGTTTGGTGCTATTATTTAGTATTCCTTTTTTTTTTTTTATAGATTTTAAACATACATAACAATTTCAGTTACATAAGGGAAAATAATGAAAAAAAAATGGAAACAATATTTATTAAGATAACTTTTGAATAGTGATTATATCATACTAAAACAGTCTATTGTAATTTGGTTATAATAAATAACCACCTAAAAAAACAAGCCTTTTTATAATTGTCACTTACAACACATTTATAGATGGTGATTGTCATTTATTAACAAAGAAAACATAAAACTTACATGAGAAGTTAAATAAGACTCAGCAGCTTTTCTGGTAGCATCTCTATCAAATTCATATTTAACAGCAAGTTCTTTTAACATTTCTATTCTTTGCTGAGAAGGTAGACTCATATACTCTTGGCAAAATTCATAAGTTTTTGACTAAAAGATCAAAGATAGATCTGTGTAAATATGTTACATTTTGAACCAGTGAAGTTTAAACTTCACTGGTGCTCAAAAGCTACATATAATTTTACATGCATGTACAGTGTAAAGGTATGCTTAATTTTAAGTGTATTTCAAATTAAATTATCTTTAAAACAATTCTTAAAATCTAATAATCAGTTATAAAAATACTTACAAAAATTTAATAAAATACACCTAATAATTAATTTTAAATATAAATTTTTTACAAATCAAGAAATTGGACGGAATATTATTTGAGCAAAATTTTTAAAAGCAAAAGAAATAATTCAACTAAAAGTTTCTAATATTTTTATGCTATGCCTAACAAATTTTTTATTATATTATCGAAATTACTGCTTAAAATTCCACCTTATGGATTTTTGTGTTCTCACAGTGAACCTATACAATTAATGAATTTAATAAGGTACATGAAACATTTTCCAAACATTTATTTGAGTTTTATTAAGAACAATGACTAAAATAATGAAAGTTATTTTTTAAAATTGTTTTGGAGTAAATTCTTGGAAATGTAATAAAATTTCTATTTTAAATGAATTAGCTAATAAAATATTTTTAAAATCTTAGTCTAAAAATATTTTATTAATAAAATAAATGGAATAATTGGATATTTTGGTCTATTGCCCTATATAAGGTTTTGCAATAACCTAATTTAGCCAAACAGTATAGTTCTTAGAAAACAAATATTTTCAATGTATTTCATAAAGTAATATATAATTACGACACACCAATAAAATAAATTTATATTACATACAATATATACTTGTAATATGTAAGGTACACATACCTGTAGAGGGAAATCATTTGGCTGCACTATGCAAGCCAAGGGATTTTTTATTACTTCAGTAGTTATTTGTTGAACTTGAGGTGTCATTCTTCTTAAATTGTGTTTTACTAATGGAGATATTACAATTCTAAACCTTATCTAAAAATATGCATAAAAAAAGAATTCTGGTCAACTGAACTTTGAAACATGATAAAGTAGCAAAAAACTAAAGAAGTAATTGAAAAACATAATCTTTCAATTTCTCATATTGTTCCTGAGTCAGGATTGACAAAATTCATGATAAAAAATGAAATAAATATTTTTAAAAAATTGGATTATTTTAAAAAGTCTAAGTCTTAAATTTTTTATATTTAATAATAAAAGTGCTGAGTGTCCATTATTAATCAAGAACAATATTATAACTAAAGTATTAAATATTTATAACTAAAATGGTAAAAATATTTTTGTAATTATTACAAGCTTATGATTCTGAATAGTTAAAATCATACTTTTTATTCAAGCTTAACACTCTTATGGATTTGTAAAAACAAATACAAAATTTCAGTTAAATATCAAAAGAAGAATAAATTAATTTAGGAATAAATTTTAGAAAAAATCAGTTATTCAAAATTACTCAGGGCAGAGCAAGTATTTTTTTATATACATCGATTACATTTTTCCTTAGTTTTAAAAGTGCTCATATTTAAATAAACATAAAACTAAATATGTGAATTGAAAATATTTATTGAACAGTAAATTATTATACCTAGAACTAACAGAAAGCTATAATCACTGATTTTTTTTAAACAAAAAAAATCAACTGATATATATCATGCCTACTTTATCAGAAGTAATATATCTTTTCTAATCAACAATCTCAAAAGCTCTTTAAAGTATAAGGGAAGATTATATTACTATGTTATCCTTCCCTTTTTTCAGTGGCTGTGGGACAAAATAATATTTATTTGCCATCAAATTATTAGTTTTTATAACTAAAAAAATCATTAGAATATAAATTTTGGAAACGTTTTTGTCTAGGTAGGAATTTCAATTAACCATCCTGGAAATATTTGATTTCATCAATTTCAGTTTAAAAATAGTATCCTGGTGTATTAAGTTTTTAATAATAAGACATCAAACTTCTGATATGTCAGGTGTATAAGTCACCTGCTAAAATGAACCAAACATGAAATTAAAAAATTTGGCAAAATGTAGATTTGACAAATGTTATTTCAAAATTTTAAAAAAGTGAATTCAGGATGATGAGAACTTTTTGTAGGACTCAGTAGACGAGGATGAAATAGAATCTATTGCAGAGTGGGATCTGTATGACATCACCACTAACGATTTTAAATTCCGTTCAGATGATGTTCTGGAATTTTTTTAATTTGTAGCCTTACGGTATATTGTAAGAGTTTTCATTTTGTTACAGTTTTTGAAATATCTATCTCATTACTTAAAATGCATCGATATTTCAGAATCAACGAATGTTCATTACGTATGATTCGATACCATAATCTCTATAAAATTTATGGGATTCGAAAAGTTGACTTAAGGTAAAAGAAAAACATCATTGTATTTGGGATTGTCTAAGTGCCGGGGTCAACCTGAAAAGAATTCTCTAATTACACCACTGTTTATACCTAATTATTACTGGACATATGTACAGATTATGTTTTTAAAAAGTATTATTCTCAATATATACTCAAAATATTTATTAATTTTGAAAGTATTATGCAACAAATATTCATAGAAAAAAAATCAATAACAATTTAGTAATAATGGATAAAGTCAAAAATCATTTTTATTAACATCATAATAATACCTACAAAACTTAACATGATTTTTGAGGAATTTTAAGGAAAATGCATCTGAATTTTTTTTAAATATATAATAGAAAACAAAATATTTAATCAATAAAATGGTGTGGTAAAAATGCAGTGTATTGTCACATCTTTCCCTTAAGTTATTGTGCAAACAATGAGTTTCCTCATTTCTATTTAATTAATTAATTAAGTGGTCTGATTATTATCGCATTTCTACATATGCATTTGTTTATTTACATTTTAAAGTGACACCAGCGGTTACAGTTTATAGCGAATAAAAGCTATGAAAATTACAAATTATAAATTTTGTCTTGGGTTTACCTGACTTGAAGTTTATGTGTCGAAAATTCCGTTTGTCTTTTCTAGAACTTCATATTTCCTTTCTATTACAGATACATCCGCTAATTAGTCTGCTAAAAACTGGTTTTCCTCGTAACATTTTCACTACTGTTCTCCAGTTCCTCTCCCACCCCCCCTGCACTCTCACTTAATGTTTTTGTTTTGGTTGTTGAGTTGAGATCAATTGATTGAAAAACAAAGCCCTTGTTTAATAAATGTTTCGTGGCGATATTATGATAATAAATATAAATTTATGACCACCTGTCAAATCTCATTTAAGTGATTCCCGAGAATTTTTATTTTAATAATGCAGAGCATTGTTGAATATTTTTCTGGCCAGGAAGGTCATTCCTGTGGTTATTGTAAATCTAGCAATACATTTTATTCTAATGGTAATCATGCCTTGATTGCTTCTTAAAATTATTTTATAAAGTTATTTTTGAACAGAAAAATAAGAAAGAAGGAATTAAAAGAACAAATATAAAAAATAAAACACATATTTCTTCCCAACTTTTCAAAATACTAAGTATACGATACAAATACTAAATATAAACTGTCTATCATTATTGTCCATGATTACTAAGCACATTAAATGTATAAAATATTTTTTTTCTTCTTCTGAAATTATAAAAAAAAATTACTACCAAAAATTTTTTAATATCATATTTATATATCCGTTGTTTAATAACAAAAATTGCTATTAATTATTAATATTTTTATATTTTGCTAGATTATATTACAAGTAAATTTCACACTGTTGGCTACATTTGACAAAATATTATTATTATTTGACAAAATATTATATTAAATGAAAATCAATCAAACATATCTTTAAACCAACGCGAATGAAACTTTCACTAATAATTAATAAATTTTGTAAGTAATATAACTATAATGTAAAATTACAAAGTTAAATAATTTATATGGAGAATATTTTCAGTAGGGTAAACCTTTTCTTTTATGGAAAAAATAAAGTGGTACATGTGATTTAATATTAAGAAATTTTTTAGAATTAACAATATAGTTCTGTCTATCATATATTAATAATAAAAATAATCACATTAGTTTCAGAAGTCAAAGCACATTGCCTTCTTAAAGCTGAAGTGAATCAAAAGAAATATCCATTATAAATATGTACTAGCATTTTTATCACATAGATATTTTTCATAAATAGACCACTTTTTATAGTCTAACAACAATAACAACAACAATTTTCATTTCTAAATAAAAAGTCAATGATCAAGCTTTCTCATCCAGTTATTTATTTCATGTATATACAGTACAGAACCCGTTATCCGGAAATCAGAAAACCGGAAAACCAAAAAACCGGAACGAAATTCGATAAATTTTCCCGCTACTTTTAAAAAAAATTTTTTTTTTTTCCTCATAAGATTTTAGGATTTTTCGTTCTTTTTTGAAAGATGTTTACTTTACCATCATTTTGGTAATAATCATTAGTGTATTACTTCATCGTTTTTTCTTCTTTTTAAGATTATTTCCAATTTTTCTTTTCTTTAGTTGGTTTTAACAATAACTAAAACGGCTTTTTTTAGCGATTCAGAAAACCGGAAAAATCAGTTATCCGGAATATCGATGGTCCCGATCGTTCCGGATAATCGGTTCCCTACTGTATTAAATTTTTTTAATGATTATAGAAATGTTAAAAAACCTTATTCAAGTGAAATAGGAGTAAACATTGTGGGGGAGTAAACAACATAGACATACAATGTGAAAAGAGCATAAATATCACCTCATAATCAGACATATTATAGTTTTGATTATGTAATGAAAAATCTTCCACAGTTTTGAAGCAGAGAATGATTTATTATTTTTCTACCAATTTTTTAATGTCTATATGAATCCTGATCAAACATAAAGTATCTTGTTTTTAATTGCTGCTATTTAAAAAAAGAATTTTAAAATGTATTTATTGCCATTAAGGTATATTGTTGTAACTGCTTTTCTTTATTGTTCATGCAAAATCTAAATTCTCATAATTAAATATTTTTTTTTATTTACAAATTAAAGCACTGGATAGAGTTTTATTTTTCTTCATTTTGTTATTTATCCTATCCATCTAATACAATTCAAAGATTTATTGTTTAAAATATATGAAGTTTTACTGTCATAATCAGTAGTAAAACATTACATATCTTTATTGTAATAAGGTTTAAATACATTATCTTATATCTATGTAATTTCATTGGTAATATGCTTAAAAAAAGTTAGACTTGTGTTACCTAGCTTCATTGTTTGTTTTTTGAAAGTTTTATTTTATTATATTTTTTGTTTAAAACTAAAACACATTATTGCATTTTAATTTTTCAAGCAAAATTGTCATGTTTTAATTTTTTAGTACTTTACATATAGATGTATTTTAAACCACCAATTAAATCATATTCTTTCAGTTCACTTCCTTCATTATTGCTCACCATCATATTCTACCAGTATTATTTATAGATAGTATCCTTTACTTCAAGAATTAAAAAATCAATAAGGTTTAAAAAAAGTTTTTTTTTTGGGTATTTTAATTTTAGAATAGTATAAAGCAATATAAGATTAATCACAAGAGTCTCATTATCCACAGCCAACTTTGAATAAGCTGCACATGTAAGTTCATGTTGCTTGATTATTCCGAGTCAAAAGTATTTTAGATATGAAAGCCTTATAAAAGAAATAGTATAATTATAAAAGAAAAATCTTGGTCATGAATTATTGTCAAAGGAGAATGAGAGTAACTTTTAAGTGCACTTTTAGCTAGTTTAAAATTAAGACTCCTTTATATTATATAAAGAAAATGTTAAATTTCTTGAGATCCTTTTTAATCACATTATCCTTTTGAAGAGCATAATGTAAGGTTTCTATACTTTAGTTAATTTTTAGAATGTAATAAGTTAAAAACAAGTCGGGTAAGTAAATAAAATACAGTTATAACATTTTGTTATATAATTTCAAAAGGTGTTAGGGAATTTGAAGTCATATCTCAATAGTATATTCATATTGAAATTTAATTTGTAATATATGAAATAAAAATTTTCAAATATAATTAGTTCTAAGAATTTTTTTATTTTATTCTTAGGAATGTGGGCTCACACCTTAACTACAACAGACTACCAGAATCTAATTGATCGAGGGTGGAGAAGGTAATATTTGTATGAATCTTTAATGGGTATTTTGTGTAGTTATTCTTTCGTGGTACAACAGTATAACTGGTGCTCACATGTTTTTGTATTAATTAAACATAATTTTATCTTACAACCAGCGTTGAACAACCGACCCAATTCTGAGTTTAGGACTATCAGCCTTCAACTCTGTAGCCTTGTAATTCAGAACCCAACCCAGAAGACAAGAAAATTCCTGGATCAAGCATTGGTTCTAGCTAGCCTTTGTGGAGGACTTTTTGATGGAACTAACCCACATTTGTTTTACATGAAGAGAAAAAAAAAAAACGAAAACCTCTCATTGTTAGCACGACAGCAAGGGAATTCTAACCTATGATCAATCTACCACTGAGGATATTTTACATCTCCACTGTGGTCAGTCTGAGTCGGGAGCAGAATTGATATTAACTAGCAATCAGCCTCCCCTGGGATTCGAACTAGGGAAAGGAACGCTTTATCCCCTTAGTTACTGCAGCTTTTGTGAACATAATTAGTATTGTTCACCGTAATGATCTCAGGTGGCAATTGTGAAGCTAGATAGTCATAATAGCAGCCAGAAGACAATGAGTTGGCCTTTGGCCAACGTAAAGGTGAAACTTTAACTGGGCTGTCCAGTCTTAACTAGGAAACTTTGAGTACTTGTGTGCTTTACAAAGTATTACTGTGTTGTAATAGTAATTTTTGCCTGAATGAAAAAGTTTTGCCGGTGGTTAAGGCATTGAACTGTCATTGTGTAGGACAGGGGTTCGATTCCCAGTGGGGGCTGGAATCTAATCCAGCTTCTGATCAATGAATACAGCGTTCCTAGTAAGTAAAGATGGCCTCGCGCAATGCTGACCATAATGCTATTGTTAAAATACTAATGTTGTCCTGCCTTTGGTTATGAAATTATGAAGCCTTTACTTTCAGGACCCCCTGACTCAAAACAGGCTGTGCATTAATGTTTTTCGTTTAATAGCAATTTTTTAAAAATCTTAATTGAAAATGGTTTTATAATTTGTTTTTATGTTTATTTTTATTTATAAGAATTGTCTTAAGTTTTCTTTTCACAAAGACTTTTTCATTCCAAAAAAATTTCATTATCAATTAATAATACAATGCTTATATTCTTGATTGTTTTTTTTATTTTCATTGAAAATTAAAATATTCTATTGTATATATTCTAACTAAATTTATTCATATTTCATACTAAATCTGGAACATGTACTGTTTTGAAAACAGGGTACTGATGCAATTAATTAATCAATTTATGTTAAGGGAACTCTTCTCAAACTTCATTGTAAAAGAGCTTGACATAAAAATTATAAATGCAACAAACCTTTCAATTTTAAATTAAAAATTTATATCTAAAGATGATCAACTTTACCTCATTATGTGTTACATAGTTATCCATTTTTCTAGTTTCAAATATTATTCTTTATTAAAATCTCTTAAAATTTATGCATTGAAAAACCTGTTATTTTGAACAATTAATGCATAATCAGTAATTTTTCATATAGGTTGATTCTCAATTTATCATTAAAATTAGCAAATGATTCCTAATTTATCTACTGTGTTTTATTCTCCCCTAAGTGTACGGTTAGGTTTAATTTTTTTAAATCAATTTTAACTTTATAAACTTAGTTTAATTAAATTGCATTAAAATTTTATTTTAATGATTTTGCTTTCTTTTTTTCAGAAGTGGGAAATATTGTTACAAACCAACTATGAATATAACTTGCTGTCCTCTTTATACAATCAGGTAAAGAGAAATTGTTAATTATTTTAAAAAGATGAAGTACATAGTATATAAAATTATAATTATTGATCCTATAAGATTAAAACATATGGTTGTGCTGTGTTTTTTTATTGTATAATCAGTCATTAAATTTTCCAATTGTATTTTAGATGTGAAACTAAAAAGTTTACTCTTACAAAATCTCAGAAAAAAGTTTTAAAAAAAGTTCACAGGTTTCTCGCTTATGGAGATCAAGGAAAGGTATTAATGTGTGCATTCTATGCATTATTTCTCTCAATATTTTCTGCAGTGTATTAGATACGAGTGATATTTTCTAATTGAAACTTTCAGCGTTCTCAGTCACCTTCATCTGAAAATAGCGAACAACGAGAAATGGATGGAGTCGAATTTTCACCAGATATCAGTGCTGAAAATTTAAAACGGATAGAAGATATTAAATCAACAGACATAGAATACTCAGAATTGGGTGAGTTTTAATAGTTAAATAATTATATATATTTTTTAACTTTTATTATACAGGGTGCGTAGCATTTTTAAAAAGTGTTTAAAGGTGCTTATTTTTGATTTTCGTTTTTTAAAAGCCCTTAAAGGTGCTTTTTTCATTGGGTGTTTTTAAAAAGTGCTTAATTTTCCCTTTTTCAAAAATGAGAATTTTCCTTCACCATTTTGATTTTTGCATGTGCATAAAAACATTTGGCCGTGCATAAAAAAATAATGTATGAAATTTTTTCAACTTTATATTATAAGGTTTATAAAGACATGTTTTAAAATATATGAACTCATTTAAAGAAAGACATTTGTTAGTTCTGCATACATATTGTAGTGTGTTTATTTCAATTTTGCAATAATTAATATAATTAATTTTAACTCATATATCCTTCTCGTATAACTAAGAATTACTCATATTAAAAATATATTTTTATCAACAATAGTAAAAGTGTTTGAATTTAAAAGCTTTCAGTAACTTGAAATTTTTAAAATGTGGTAATTAAATAAATATTTTGATAATCTTATATTTTATTATGATATGAAAAATAATTGTTATGCTTTATGAAGTTTCATCAATAAAAACTCTCAAACTAAATCAAATCTCATAAAAGCTAAGTTTTTTGATTTAATTTTAATTTTTGTAGAAGGCTATTTGTACTTTGTGAAAATCTAAGTTTATAAAGTTCTGAAAGAGTTTTACATACATTATGAGTTTATATGTAATTGAACTTAGCTATTGTAGGCTTTGATTTAAAAGGATATCAGTGAATTATTAAATGGATGATTTAATGTTGAATGGATAGTTTAATGTTGATGCAGGATTTTCCATAGAAAATGATTTTTTGAAGTTGTCGGAAAAAGTATATGAATGTTCATATACATGTTTTTTCTTTCAAAAGTGTTAGAAAAAAGTCTATATTTCAAATTGTTCCAACATTGTATAAATAATATATGAAAAGTAATATTAGTATAAGGTCTTTCAAGATAAATCAAATCTTATAAAAGCTATACTTGTTGATTTAATTTTTTCAGAAGGCTTTTCGTAATTTGTGAAAATCTGAACAGTGATTCATATGTATCTTGTCAGTATTTATGTGTGATTGATGTTCTTTCATGAATCACTGTTATATTATTATAAGCAATTGTAAGTGGTCATTGCAATGACTAACAGATATGTTATTGTGTGAAAACCATTGAATATACAGTCGAACCTGTTTATCTCGAATCTCACGGGAAATGCGAAAAATTCAAGATAAAGAGGATTCGAGTTATACAGGTGCTATAAAAAATTAAATTTAATTAAGAAATTCTATTAAAAGTGCGTTAATTGTTTTTAGTAACAAAATATAGACATTTCTTTAAATTAATTATACTTCATCTATTCACATAACCGTTTTTTAACATACATTTAACACTGAAAATAATTTTTCTAAGATTTTTGACTGATAACCTTATTTGTTTTGATTATTCTTTTGAGGTTAGAAAGATTGCAAATTCCTCATAGCCTACATTTTCCTGGAATTCAACAGTAGTTTATAAGAATTCTGCAGCTTTTTCTACTTCTTTTGCATTCACTTTTGATTCATCAATATGATCTTCAGCTTCTTCCTCTTCATCCAATATTCCTTTGACATTATCTATGATTTCTGCATCTGTCAATGCTCTGCATGTTGCCAGGCTGTTGTCCACTTGTAAAAATCTTCAAAATTAATGTCAACATTAAATCCAGATTTTATTGCGTTCCATTCTGGCAAATCTGTCACTGCATTTCCATCGTTGACATTTTCTTCTTTACTGATGCCTACAACCTCTTATTCATCATCTTCACAGTTCTTTTTAAAACCATTTTGGATAGTTTTTAGAGACACATTTCTCCAGACAAAACAGTAATTCTGATTGCATCTAACTTTTTTCATTGTTGGCATCTACAAGTTTGCGTACCAACTGTTTTCTTTAGATCACTTTAAAACTCTTAATTATCCTTTGATCCATTAGTTGCAATTTTGAGATCAAAATGAATTTCTATTCTTAGCTTTCTTATCTATGTACCCCGGATGGTCACTACTCGTTAACCCCTCACTTACTGCAAGAATCATTGTATTTCTTTCTAGTTAAGGAAGTGCAGGGAAAGTGATTGAAATTCCAAGAAACACCCCCAACCTGTTCATCCATACTTCCTGTGGATTCACGAAATTCATCTCTGTCTACAAGTTCTACTGATAAAGAAAGTTTTGACATTTGTGCTTATTAGAAATTCGAGAAATGGAGGTTTTGAAGAAGAAAAAAATTCGACATAAACATGGAAAATGCATTGATTTTAGACAGTAAATGTAGGGAATTTTAGAAATTTCAAGATATAAAGGTTTTTGAGATAAACAGGTTCAACTGTATTAATATATTTTTATCTCTAATTGTTATAGTATTATATTATAATCTCAGAATCTGATTCTAATCTGAAAAGTGACGAAACATCATCTGCAGATGTCCAATTACCAAAATCTAGTTTTTCTTCTTCGGGGTCTCCTTCAATTGTTAATAAATGTAAGTTTTAAATTATGTTTTTTTCTTTGTTTTTCAGATTAATCAGAGATTGTGTTTTCCAAATTTCTGGTTTTTGCTAGACGTATATCTATTTTGAATCTTTCTCTAAAAATAAGAATCTAGAACAAGCCTAAATGTAATTTTTTAAAAGTCTTTATTAATTACATTGTCTCTTTTAGAAGTTTGCAAAATTTTTACCATTCAAATAAAATAAAAAAAATAATTTAGGATTGTCTACGTCTTATTTATCTCTAAAAATAAGAATCTAGAACAAGCCTAAATGTAATTTTTTAAAAGTCTTTATTAATAACATTGTCTCTTTTAGAAGTTTGCAAAATTTTTACCATTCAAATAAAATAAAAGAAATAATTTGGGATTGTCTGTGAAGTTCAGTAACTAAAATAACAGAAAAAAATCGTTTGACACAACTCATCACTAATAATTTTTATTGTCTGATTCAATTATTGGCTTGTAAGTGTAATAAAATAAAATATTAAAATGTGAATTTCAAAAAAATTATTGTAAATATATTCATATTTATGAATTTTGTTATTAAAAGGTTAAAATCAGTTTGAGTTGACCAATAAAAGAATTATGGTTCATGTTTTAAAGGGCCACCTTCCCTCTATTCTGCCTATATGTATTGTACCTTTTTGTTCAACTTTGTTGTATGCTCCACAAATATATTTTACTGATAATATTCATTCATGAAACTCTCTTTCAATGTAATTGTTTTAGTTTTGACTGCACATAAAAAGCTTGTTACTTTTCATTTGGACATTTCCAATTTTATTTGTTTGTTTATTTTTAAAATTTAATAAAAGAGTCGTTATATAGTTTCGTAATTTTTTTCTCAGAATTATATGTAGACTACTAGTGAATTATTTTTATTTACCAGTAGTACTTTCTTTTTAACATTCAACATTTTTCTGTTAGATGGTATTTAGAATTGCCAATATAACTTTAACTTTAAAAAAAAAACATGAACATCTGAAAATTTTTTTTAGTATTAGAAATACAAGCAATTTTTGTATTTCCTTTTCATTTTTAACGCATGAAATGGGATTGTTTATAATATACAATTACAGAATATAGATAATGTGCCTATCTATATCTATGATTGCATGTATGATAATTAATTACTTTTGAAATTCATATTGTTTGTTGTACGAAGAAAATAAATGGCTTGGCATAAATCAATATAAATTGACAAAATTGCCACTTATTTTCTGCACTTGTTTTACTAAAAAAATCATGTTTCAAGTTGGGTTATGTGCTTTTTGAATATGAAAACATTCAAAATCGAAAATTTTTCATTTTATTTTTCTTGTATTATTATAGCTTTAAACATCATTATGGTAAATCAAGTATTCTTAAATGCAGCATATTAACTTTCATATGATAATGTGTATCACTGACTTTTCATAAAGCTGTTAATTTCAAAATGATACTTGTTAATGCTTTTAAACTTTAATTTTTATTATTATGTAGAGTTTTTATTATACTTGTTAATCCTATAAAGTAAGTTTTTTCCCCCTCATAGATTTTGCTTTGCATTAAAAATTTTTTTTTAAGTTTAAACCATCAGTTCAAAACTTATATATTGTTTTAGTACAAGAATAATTGGCAAATTTTATTTTTCATGGGTGTTAAAAATCTTAATTTCTTTTAAATTGGCTAATTAAGGAGTTTGTTATTTATTTTCTACCGAATGAAAAAAAAATTATTTTTCAAAGTTTTTATTTTAGTTAAATTACCACTAGGTATAAATCTAAGAGAGAAGAAACTAAATCACTGAGGATAAATTTTTTTTTTAAATAAATAAATAAATATATATATTTAAAAAAAAAAAGCAAATTTATCCTCAGTGATTTAGTATCTTCTCTGTTAGATTTATATTTAAACATTAAATACTTTTCCTCCAATGTAAACAAAGATTATGTGTTAATTATTTCTAATTTTCTTGCAGATCTAAACAGTTTATATTTCTCTGTAATTAATATCATAACTTTATTAAAATTTTGTTGCTACAAGCTTGAAAAAAGTTTGAGCTTAAAAATTAATTTATTCCAATTTTAAAGTTAATATCGGTTTCTTTTTGTTAGGAAATTTTTTATTTCTGTTCTGTTCTATTATTATTTATCAAGACAATCCTATTTTTAATATGATCTTTTTTTGTGATTATTTTAAGATATTTTTTAAATTGATAATTTGCAAAATTATTGAATCAAAGACGTAATATGAATTACTGATATTATATATATATAAATATTTAGTACCAGTAATTTATAAATTCAAATCTTTATTCGAATATCTCTAACTATTTTTAATTTTTGCAGGTAATGAAAATAGTAATCGTCCTAAATGTCAAAAAGCCAAGGTCTTACGACGTGAAAAGAAACTTCAGAAATTGCTAAAAAAAGGAATACAACCTGATTTAGCTGCTGCATCAGTTAAGGTTATTTTGGCCTTCTTTTTTTAAAGTGTATTTAGTAATTTTAAAATTTTAAGTTAATGTAATAAAAAAAACTGTTTATAGATTTTGGTTATTTACATTTCATGATTTGGTGATTTATCTATCAATTCTAACCTCTTGAATAATTTTTTTGAAAATTATAAAAATGTCCTTTTTTTTCTATTTAGTTCATTAAATTAAACGTTATATCATTAAATAGATAATGAAATTCAATATAATTTGCAATTTAATTGATTCATACTTGTTGAACTTTGAGTGGCTGTCATAAATAATTTTTAATTAAAAGGATGTTTCCCTTTTAAATTGTATATTCTCGTGTGTCCCAAAAATGCCCAATGATTTGAATTGTCAATTAAAAAAAAAAAAAAATGAAATTAAAAAATTGCATGATTTACTGCATTTTGCATATAAAACTGAGGTTTTATTTCACCAAATTTCAAAATTAGTTATAAAGTTTGTCAAAAGATTGCTCCACTGTCTGGAAAAACTATGAAAAATTATAATCTGCCTTATGTCAGATAATTTTAATGGAAATATTAGCACAGCTGTTTGATAATTTTGTGCCTGGACTACACATTGTTACAGCAAATTATGATTATTTTGAAAACATGGTTTTGTAGTTTTCCTCAATTAACAGAACAAAAATAGTATCTGCTGACAAACTTTTTAACTTATTTTTAAACTTGGGTAGAAGAATTCTGGTTTCCTAAGTAGAACTCAGCAGACCATACAACTCCTAGCATTTTCACCATACTTCTGCATACTTCACCATTTTTGATTTTGACCTGCATTTTTCTTTGCATAGTATGTGCATGATAGAGATATTAAAACAAAAAGGTGTATTTCTATAAGCACCAGCAAGTTAATCATCCTCAACAAATTAATAAAGAGAGAGGAAAGAAGAGTTTTTACATTTTCTTTCTTTTCACATTTCTTTATATTGTAGTATTTTTTTTTCTTCAAATTTTCTCTGTTTTCATGTTTTGTTAAAAAAAATAACCTCTTATTTTTAAATATTTTTTATAAGGCCTGGTTTTTATGTGGCTGTAATTTTTTTAAAACTGTTGTTACAGAGTGCGTGTAAAATAACATGACGTACTGGCAAATATAAACAATGCATTTTACGCAGAAAATATAGTTTAAATTTCTTAAAAAAGCAACTTAGTAACAAAAGTAACACATAAAAGAAAATTTGGCACCCCAGTCATATGTATGCTGATAAATGAATACAGATATGAATACAGATTTTTCTATGTTCTATGTTTTCAATGCATTATATATTATTATACTTTATACACCACATGTTATTTTATATGCATTCTGTATGTTTATTGTATTTATATTCAATATAAATACAATAAACATGTAGATTTGATTATAAATACATAATTTATTTCTTTGGGTCTTTTAATCTGTTTGTTGTTGGTCTTTTATAAGAATTTTTTTAAATTTTATTTGTAGAAAACACCAAACCAGCCAAAGAGTCTTGAAGAGTTCCTATCAGAACCACATATCTCCGATCCAGCTCATAAACTAGAGGTCAGGACTGTCCTCTATATAAAAATATTTTATCTTTTAAGATTTTTTTATTTCTTCCGTTATTCAAAAGAGAATTTTTTGTTTATAGTTTTATTTGTTACATTTGTTTATACAGTATTATTTTTTCTAGAATTCTGAGTAATTAAATTTGTTTGTGCCTTATGTTATCTTTTTAAATATTACATTTCTCTTTGATTACCCCAAATTCTATGTTCAAAACTATTTGAGTCAATGCTTTCATGCTTGAATTTCTCTGACTCAGCAGTAATTTTCTTTTATCATGAGGAGGATAAAACTAAATACAAGATGAAGAAATTGTACCCCAAATATTCCTTAAATGCAAATAAGTTAAGATAAAACTTGAAGTTAAAAATTTTCTCTTAAGATACTTTCAGGGTATCCGTGCACCTGGAAAGTCATGAAGAATCATGGAAAGTCATGAATTTCAGTATTGAACAAAATTTGTTATGAAATGTCATGATTTTAACTATTTTTTTCTTCAAAAATCATGGAAATAGGTCGTTGAATTTTCAAAAAGGATTTTACCCCACCCCCTAATTTCATGGTGTTTCAAATATCTGAATTTGTAACAAAATCCCTACTCACAGTCATGTTTTATTAAAATATAAAATGTTTTTATCATGTTCTTTAAAAATTATGGTGTTCTTTCAAAAAAAGAAAGAAAAAACATCATTTATAGAGCGAATTATCTTTTTAACTTCTGTGATTTCAGAATTTTTATTAATGTTTATTTTTTTTTACTTTATCAATTTAAAATTCCAGCTGAAGCAAGCCAGTTATTGGCGAGCATTTTTTATTCCAAAATGAGAAAAGAAAATTCTGCAAGAAAGAAAAGAAATTATTTGCCTCTGTATTTTTTTTCACATATTTTATTGTTTCAACTCTTCCTCTTCTCTGTTTTTTAAATTTAAAATCTATAAATATGAAGATGCAAAGTATAACTATTTTGGTTATACTATCATTTCAATTAATGTTATAATGCTTTTTAAATTTATTGTTCTACTTTTGTTGGGAAAAAATAATAACTTCGTTAAGTCATGAAAAGTTCTTGGAATTAGTCATGGAAAGTCATGAATTTGAAAATCTAAAATGTAGTAGATACCTTGTACTTTAATCACAAGGAAGGCAAGAATTTGTGAAAAAAATTCTCCCAAGTTTTTTTAATCGTGATGAGGATAAAACTAAACTCGAGAGGTAGGAAAGTTTCTCTTAAGATTTTTTAATCAGGGGGAGGATAAAATTAAACTTGAAAGGTAGAAAGCTTCTTCCTGAGATTTTTTAATTAGGCTGAGGCTAAACCTTAATGGGGAAGAAAATTTTCTCCAAAGATTCTTTAATCAGGAAAATGGTAAAACTAAACTTGAAAGATGGGAAATTTTCACCAGAGATTCTTTTATCACTTGGAAGATAAAGATTAATTAATGTAAAAACAATAATAACATGACTTACGTTTCAATATATTATTACAAATCCTAACTATTTTACAACATTAATTTAATTTAAAGCTTTACCTTTAAAATATTATTTTACTAATTTGAAACTAATATGTTGCATGATTTCAAAAAATATGTATGTTGATATTGAGGAATGATTTCAAACCGATTCTCAGTTCACCCAAAATCAGTTATTGTATTTTGCAAGATCTCAAGCTTTTAAGTTTCTGTCTGTAGTGTTGTAAGGTTGTGTCATTACATCTGTAATAGGTACTTCATGTATTATTATCTTAAATATAGTGCTGTGTGGATTATGAGTTATTTTGGAACTATAGTAATTTACAGTGATGATTTGATCATAGAAATTAACCATAGATTCTCTTCGGCAAATAGGTGCTATTATGACAATAAAGCTAGGGTGAAATCTTGATATATCAGTCTTAATGCTAAAATTAGTATTGAAAATAAACTATTTCTACATGGCTATGAATGTTAGGTAATCACCTAAACTATTGAAAATAGACTTTTGAAATAATGTTTGAATGCTAAATATTTGGTGCAGTTTGTAAGAATGCTGTATAGTTATGAAATTTACCAAAAAACACAGACAACTTTATTGTGTTGACCATTATTGTGAAACTCATAAAGATGGCTAGGATATTCATTTCAAACGCATGACTCAAATCTAGTTACAAGGTTCACACTTACAAATCCTATGGAATATAAAAATAACTTGAAATACCCTTACATAGGATGCTTGATTCAATTGAAAGTGTCTTAAAGACCTCCATTGAGGGAAACTGGGGAAGCTTTGTTTTAGATAATACCAGATATTGGAAAATGAAGTAAGAAGCCTTGGCCTGCCACAGGCTGCAGAGTCTTAGAAGAAGAAGAACAAGTAGGTGCAGCTAATAGTTTAAATATGAGCAGATCAAATAATCTATGCTCTTCTGAATCCCAGATCTATAAGAATATAAAACCTGTCAGTGCCCATACCACTTTATTTTTGCTGAATATTAATTAGTTTGTGATTAATGATCGTTTATTTTATCGTTATTAAAATTTTTCTTTTTCTAATCTACAAGTACAGCCAGATGGTAGGCTTAAAAAGGAAAGGGTACTTTGATTTGAGAAGAAAATTACAGTTGAACTCAGTTATAATGATCATACCATAAATTCACTATAAACGGTGGTTCACTGCATCAAAATTCTTTAAAAAAGAAAAAAAAAAAAAAAAGGAAATAAACTACTTTTTAAAGAATTGACATCATTGTTGGAAATAGTTATTATGATAGTTCGGTATTTGTTTATAAATTATTAACTGATTAAATGTGTAATAAACCAAGTTTTAAAAAGGAAAATGAATAAATTTGGTTTTACATTCTATGAAAAAAATTAGTACTTTTCAATTGACTACAATTTAATTTTGAGTAGAGTTTACCAATTTTCATATTATAATGTAAGTAAACTGTTAATAATCAATTGGTTACAACAAGGTCTGTTTATTTTTGAGTTATTATGTGTCTTTTTATTTACCATTCTATATTAATTATTAAGTATGGCATTTATTGAAAATATGTCAATTTTTTCATTTCTTGTGCTCTGAACAAATTATTTTATTACATTTCATTTTTCTGCTAAACACCTAAGTTGGCTAATTAGTGTAAAGTAAATAATAAATATTTTCTTTTGTGATTTTTTTTATTTATTTAGAAGCTTTTGTGTAGATTGAATTTGTTTATTAGCTGTATTAAATATATTTAGATAATTAAATTGAAATCTTGGTATTTATTATATTCGCTTTTTAACGTCTTAATCATTCCACTTTTTATATTTGACATTAATTAAGTAATCAAAAGTTTAGTAAACATTTCAAGACGATTTAATTGTTAATTAATTCTTTTAAAAGATATATTTTTGCTCTAATTTAAATACTATAAATAGTAATGTGCATGCTAAGATTTTGTTTGCAATAAAACTAAACTAGATTAATTTATGTGCCTTATAAATTTATGTATGCATGTTTTTTTTAATTCAATGTCACTATTATTTTATTACTGCAATTATGTGCAATTTTTTTTCTTGAAAGGCAATTTGATTTTGCTTTCAGCTTCGCTTGGTACCCTCAAGTTTAGAAAATTCTCTCTTTTGTCAAACTTTTGAGGAGTCTTACAATATTTATAAAAAATATCAGATGGAAATTCATCGAGATCCAGCTGAAAAGTGCTCAACCAAACAGTACACTCGTTTTTTGGTGAACAATCCATTTCAGGTAAAGATTACAAATCATGGACATATATCATTATTGTGTACATTTAATGTCCTTACCAAGTTATTCCAGATGCTTTTGAGCTTGATGAAGTGATTTGATTACAATACTAGAAGTTTAATGATGTTTGAGAAATTCAAATCTTGATAGGTAGTGATTTATGTTTACACATCTATAGAGATGTACAAATGTAGTTTTTTTTTAAAATCATAGTTGAATAATTTTTTTAAAATCATTTCTAGTGTTTTATTGTTGATTCTTTTCTTTTTTATTGTTGAATAGATTTTTATTTTTGTTTCTTTTCTTTCTTGATATTACTTTTATGTGAATATTCCTTCAAATTTGTTGGACTTAGTAACTAAATTGCAATCACTTCAATGATTTTTTTTTTATCAATAGAGTTGTAGTTGGTTTCTGGTTTTATCTTATTTATACCTTGCAGCTTCTTTTTGATGGAATTTTTGCTGGATAAATAAAGTTGTACCTAGTTTCTTATGAAGTTTTATCTTGGGAAATATAATTGTACCTAGTTTCTTATGAAGTGTTATCTTGGAAAATAAAGTTGTACCTAGTTTCTTATGAAGTTTTATCTTGGAAAATAAAGTTGTGCCCAGTTTCTTATGTAGTTTTATCTTGGAAAATAAAGTTGCAGTTAGTTACCAGTGAAGTTTTATCTTGATATGTCTGATGTTCCTTGGCTGCTTAATGTAGAAAGATGATTTCAAGTTTGTGCTTTATATTTTGACTAGAGCTTCAAAATCACTTAGTTGAATAACTGACTGTTCTATTGGACTTGTTTTGGCTCATTATCTTAATTTTATTATGATTACAAATTTACTTATTTCTGTTTAAAAAAAACTTGTGATGGACTACTGTTTTATTTAATACAATTTCCCCTCTTGGATTGCAGAGTATCTTTTGCTGGATTTATTTTTATTGAGAATTAGTTGCACCTGTGATTACTGTTGTACTTTGGCTTACTACATTTTAGAAATCATTTTAGATTGCTATATATTTGGTGACGTTACTCATTTAATTTTTCTTCTCTAATTCACTAAGCCCTGTAATACAAATTAAGTTTTCCGTTGTTAGCTAATATCAGCTTGCCTTTCAAAATTAAAACACTAATTATTTTAAAGTAAAATTTATACTAATATTAGTTATAGTGTGGTGTAGTTATGCCTTGCATTTAATTATTCAGGTAAAGTTTGTTTATGTCAATTCTAAGGAATTCCTTGAAACTAAGAAAGAATCTTACTCTCTTTATGTAAAATATCAAATGGCTATACATAACGATACTGAAGAGGAGTGTGCCGTTGAGTCCTTTGAAAATTTCCTCATTGAAACACCTTTGGAGGTATATACTTTTTTTTTGTTTATTTCTGAGGATTCTTCCTGGATTTTTGATACCAGTTGTATTTTTTTATATTTTGAAATTTCCAATGTCTAGGCAATTATAAATACTAAAACATATCAGAGAAGTAATCAAAGTTATTGCTTCAAAAGTTTTCTTCTGTTTCAATCAAGCACCCCTTTAACATATGTGTGAAGTGGTGCATATCGATAAAGGTGGTCTTTATTCATTGGATCTGCCCGACTGCAGAAAGGTTAACTGGCAGTGAGAGTGATCTGAGTATCTTTGGTATGAATATAGTTAGCAATATAAATGAATGTTTTTTATTTAAATAAAGCTAAAATAAAAACTTTCCCCAATAACTTGCAATTTTTTTTGAAAATGCTCCTTAGACTTCCCGATAGTAGTTTTTTTCGTCCCTCAATGAAATAGATATCCCACAAAAACAAATTGAAAGAAATGTTATATTCCTCAAGAACAAATTATTAAGAAATGGCGTTCTGCATTCTAATTCCTCATAAATCTATCTCTCCTTATCTCCCCCTCTGCTGACCAGACGAGTGGTCCTCTCTCTGTTCAAGTCCCCGTCGTCTAGCGTCCACCACGTAAAAGGGGGCAACCACATGGTGGATGATTCGATACCAGCAGATTTGTAGCTTACAAATTTTCAATTTGTTTTTGTATGGTATCTATTTCATTGAGGAAAGCAATGGCTGCTAGCGGGAAGCCTTAGTTCTTCCTCTAAGCGCTTCATTAGAAATTTTTGTTTTTAAAGTTTAGTTTGGATTAATTTGATTAGTAAGCAACATAATTATTACACATTAATTTGAGGTATACAGCTGTCTTAACACTGTTAAGGTATGTAATGAATACAGAGGCAGAGATGATGATACTTGATTATAGCAGCAAAACAGCTGTAGGTCTAATAAATAATTGCACATATACAATCAGAATACAATTGGTCCAATAAGTAATTGTATTTCTGTTTTATTTGTGCAGTAATTGCTTTTTTAGAGCAATTCTATATTCAATGTTAACTATTATATTAGTGCTGACTTTTTTTCAACCAAAAGTATGACTTTTTATCTTACGTTTGTTTTCTAGTCACTTGATGAAATTTCATTGGTGGGACAAACTTATGGCTCATACCATCAACAGTATTGGCTTGATGATAAATTAATAGCCGTGGGAGTGCTGGACATCTTACCTTACAGTGTTTCATCTGTGTATTTTTATTATGATCCTGACTATAGTTTCCTTTCCCTTGGAACATATTCTGCTTTAAGGTAATCATTTTATGATGGTGATCATTTTGTAAAAACAAACATTATTAAATAGGAGTACACAACTTTTTTCTGAAGAGAACTACAGGGCAAATAAACTATATTTGTTTTGTTTAAAGAAAATTTTCTGTCCAAAACATGTTTAAAATGAATTGTTCTTCAAAAAAAGAAGGAAAAAAATCGAATTGTTGAAAGAAAGAAAAGGAAGAAAAATAAAGAAAAGAGATTTGAGATATTGAGTAGACGATAAATTCTCTATCTCTTTATCCATTTTTACTATACGCATTTATTAAGGTTATCTATTGATAGATAAAACAAAGAATTTCAGTACAAGAAAAGAGTTTTATTTGAAATCAATGTTTTTAAATAGAGCTGCCCAAACATTATTTGAAGGAGAAGCACCAATGTAATTTGACACTTAGAATCAGTTTTATTTTCTCCTTCTGCATTTAATACTGAAAAAAGAGTTTTTTACGCACAAAAGTTGGTGATTTGTTTTGTTGAAAGTTCGGTTCTATTCTACCAACATAAATGTATTTGAATAACTATTTTAATATTATTTTTTTTTGATAGAGAATTTTGCATCCCAAAAGATGTGTTTATAGGCTTTCATAATAAGCATAATTCTTTAGTTGATATCTATTTAAATGTTGCTTATTTAGTGATGTTATTTTTCATTTTTATTTTGTTACTTATTACTAAGTTTTTTATGTAAATATTTATTAATTCTTATATTTATTAAAGATGCTTTTAGTTTTTGTTATGTATTTTAGTGACTTCAAAAAAATTCAAATACTAAACAAAAAACATTAACAAATATCTTCTTGAAATTTAATTATAAAAACATTTAATCAACAGAGATGCCAACTTGCTCCGGACAGCAAATATACATTTTAAAGTGGTAGTTTATCAATTGTGATTCTTAGTTTAATAAATTCAATTTAGTAGATTTTTATCCACCACTATTTATAAATAATTCGTAGGCTTATATTAATCACCACTTTATAGTACTTATGTCATACTATACCGCATACAAAGCAAGCAAAAATTGCCAAATATTTGCAAAATTTACTTAGTTGTTATTTACCGTTTTTATTTATTATTCTGGCGTATCCAGAGCAGTTGGCATCTCTGAATTAATGTATTATAATGAAAAGGAATAATTATTCAAAATTTTTGTTAATTTTTCAAAAATTATATTACAGAGAAATATCATTGACGCGTCAGCTGAATGCACAATATAATGATCTGCAATATTATTACATGGGCTACTATATACATTCTTGTATTAAAATGAGATACAAGGTAAGTCAAATTGTTGCATTGACTTTTCATAAATAATTTTTCTCATGTAGCTCAACACTTTGAGATACGTTTGCGTTAGCAAACAGAACTTAATATATTTCATTTCACAAAATAAAATCATTTATTATATATTTGCTAAACATTTGTAACATCTTGGTAATGAAGAGAATTTAACATCTCTCATAATTGCCATTGCCATTTGTCATTCCTATAGACAGTATGAAGGCATTTAAAGTTGTTATTACATTCCTTTTTATAAGATGTTAAGTAAAACAGGTCCAAAATAATGTTTCTGATTAGTCTGTGATAAAAATTACATTGATTGAAATAAATATTAGATTAATGAAGTTTATTATTTAGAAAAAAATTATGAATGTTGGAAGCAATTAAAAGAATGTTGTGGTATGTTAATAATGAACTTCACAAGTATGGATGTTAGATGTCCAAAAGCAAAGAAATAACTTTATAATAATATCACATACCATGAGTAAAAGAAAGAAACTTCCTGAAAATTTTTTGATCTAGCCATTGGATCTTGACTTATAAGGGTTAATAGTTGCAGTATTGCTGATGTCACAAATTCAAAATAGAACAGAAATATAGAGATCTATTAAAAGTGATTTAAAGGCATTTTATTTTATCATATTTTATTGATGTTATCAGAATGAGCCCAAAAAGGCAAAGGTGTGCAATTCTGACAAGGTGTGCAATTTTGGAAATTCAAATTGAGAATGACTCTAAAACTGCATAAAATATGCATTATTTCTCATCCAAAATATGGCATACAGACTTTCCAGTTATTTTTTCCAAGATTCTTCGTTACATCAATATCAAAATTTAATGTAACCAACAAATAACACATCTATTTATGAACGAATCTTAGATAATTCTAGAAAAGGACTTACTGGAAATTTATCAAACAGATATTCCAATACTCTTAACGTTTACAGCTCTATAATTCTTAAAGGTTTCAAAACACAAAACCCGAAGATATTAAAATGAAAAGATTAGCTTTTTGCTTAATAGTTTAAAAAAAAAAAAGTAAAAGTGCTTACTTGAGTAATGGGTAAAATAAAAGAGGTAGAGGAAAAGAGTGTGTGATGAATAATGTCACAAGAGTTTAAAGGGATGGCATGAAATACGTTAATTTCTAACTGCAATTTATTAAGTTAGGAAATCAGACGCAGGCATGTACTTTCTCAGAATAAACATGCCTTTTTTAGAGGACTTGGATTTCTGACTTTTAAAATCTAGAGAGTAGCTGCTGTTTGGGTGATATAGTCTGAGTTTTCAAATTTTAGAAAAGTTGTACATTTAAAAGTTATTTCCTTATAAACTATTAGACTGATTTCATTCACATTTTGTATCTTGTCATACAAAATTACTTTCTTTTAATTGATATAAAAATTTGTGTGCCTTAAATTTTTTTCGACTGTTATTAAGTAAAATAATAAATAACTACTAAAATTTATTTTTTGGGTGAAATTATGTTCGGATAATCGGGTTTATAAATGCATGCAAAATTGTTTAAATGTTCTTAAAAAGTTTTTGAGATATGACTAAATATGCAAAATTGAAATTAGCAGTAAGTGGTCCAGATTTTCGACCGCTCTTCTAACGAAACTATTGGAACCATATTTCTCATTCCCATAATTTGAGGGTCAGGAATCCAAATCCGTAAAAAAAAAGGTTAGGCAATAATTAATTAACATATTTAAGGTTAGGCCCTCAAATCATTATGATTGATTCGTAATACATGAAAATCTAATCAGATTGAAAATTATTCAGGGTATACTATTTTTACTTTGCAGATAGTACCATTTAAATAACTCCCCTAGTTCCTAGATATACTGAATTTCTTTAAAAAATATGCTTTTATTAGGCATCTTGCATGAACATAAGGTAATACCTAATGTGTTCTTAAAATAAAAGAGAGCCTGAATTATGTCTATACTATGTGATTGAATCTATCCATGGCTTTTTTATGTTATCTATGGGTATTTCAGAGATGTCAACTCCTCCAGAGAAAATATTTTTAAAAATGGTAGCAGGGTTGGGTTTTTGACGTCAAAAAGTGGTTTTTGACATGACAGGGGTATAATACTGGTTTAAACCGTCAAAAACCTGTCGAAAATGTCAAAAACTGAAGTTTGCCAAGAAAATTTATTAACTTCAAAACTACCAACAGTTGCCATGCATTATATTGAAATTTAATTATACTATAGGTAATCAGCAGGTTTTAAAATATTTTTTAATTAAAATTAAGGTAAAATAACAGATTTAAAATCTCAGAAATTTATATTCAAATGCATGTGCAGAAAAATTTTGCACAAAAATTGTTTAAATATTTATATTTAAAAATTTTTTTTTTCTTTTTGATACTTAAGAAAATTAAAAGTTTATTACTATGCATTTTTGACATATAAGGAACATATAACTAATATTTATAAGGAACTTACAAGTTATGTTGTATAAATACAAACTTGATATAAGATACAAGTGTATAAAAATTTTTTTTTAATGTTATACCGAATATCTTTATTATCCAGTATGTTAATTTGAATTTAAAAGTAGTTATATTTATGAATAATGATAAATATAATTCATATTGTTTATTATATTTATTTATAATTATTACACTTATCATTTTAAAACAATTTTTATCTCTTAATTTTTTTTTCTCCACTTGTATTAAGAATACAAATAATGCATATCTTGAAAGCAAGAAGTAATTATTCAACAGCTGAATATTTAGATATTCAACAAAACTATATAGTATTCAGCAAAATGAAATTCACAAGTATTTGGATAAACTAAATTTTCAGCATAGTAAATGAATAGGCTGAATATACTGTAAATCGACACTAACTACTCTGTGTATTTAACAGAAAGCACTTAAATTTGTATTGTCTTATGTTAAAAAGATTATTAAGAAGATTTAAAAGAATATTAAAAAGATTTTTCTTTAAAAGATGTCTAATGTACAAAACTGCTAATGTTTATCTTTAAAAATGTCTAATTTTTAGTATAATCTATACTATACACTAAATTTGGTTATAAATAAATTTCTTAATAATATCACTGCAGATTTTCAATAACACATGAAAATGAATACATAATATTACAAAAGATGTGAGTTTTCAAAAGTACAAGATTTTGGTTACTATTCAAAATATAAGTGTTTCTTCAAAATTTTAAATTTATTTTTTCTAGAACATATTTAGAAACACTATCCTTTAAAAAATATATAAATTTTATGTATTAATTAAATTTCACATATGAATATAGGTTTTTGACATTTTCGACATTTTTGACAGTGAGGTTTTTGACGTGACGGTTTAAACCATGGTTTAAACTGTCAAAAACTGTCACATGTCAAAAACCTGCCAACCCTGACCTACAAACTAAAATTTTGAGATTTTCGAGCAATTTACCTATTTTTACAAGACTCCACTATCTTAACTGTAATAAAGTGTCGTATCACGCAAGCCTTTGAATTATTTCAAAGTAGTGGTGAGTAAAAATTCTATAAATCGAATTTACTAAACCAAGAAACATATATTAACACGTTGAGCACCGCATCACCCATCGGTGGCTGACACTGAACTTTCCATTTGGGCCGCATCAACCACCGGTGACTGACACTGAAATTACATTTAGACCTAGTCAACCACCGGTGGCTGACACTGAAATTACATTTAGGCTGTGTCGACTACCAGTGACTGACACTGAAATTACATTTTGGCTGCGTTTGCCACCGCTGCTGACACTGACCTTTCACATAGGCTGCGAAAAACAGCTGGCTGACAGCGTATAACATGATATAGAACTGTAGAATTTACACTTTTTTATGGGATTGCAGAAAATTTATTCAAAATTTACTTAATTGTTGTGATTGTTGGTTTAATAAATTCAATTTAGTAGATTTTTATCCACCACTATTTTTAAACAATTTGTAGTATTATATAATTCACCACTTTTTTCATATATGTCATGCTAAACCTTTTAAAACTAGCAAAATCTGTCAATATTTGCAATTTTAGTTTGTAGTTAATTACAGTTTGTCCAGACGGGCAAGCCATGTAAAATTAGCGTGACATTCAACGTGTTAAAAGACTACCACTTGAAAAAATTTATTCGCTGTCCAGAGCAAGTTGGCATCTGATATTTTAAGAGTTTTGAGAATTTACTTTAATAATTCTTTTCTTTCTGTAACAGGGTCAGTATGTTCCTTCTTATTTATTATGTCCTGAAGCCTACACATTTCACCCTATAGAAAAGTGTAAACCATTGTTAGATAAATCTAAATTCTGTCGTCTAGAAGAAGACACTAAAATTGGTAATTTTTTTTATCTTTGATATTCTATATAAAGATTATTATTATCTATTAATAGTTTTTCCATGTTATCATCACTAAGCTAGAGTTATCTTTGTAAAATTTAATTTGTAGCAAGAGTTTTCGTATACTAGATACAACTAATAAATAAGTTCGTTAAGCATGCATTCTTAAATTTATGCACATTTTTACAACTATTCAATAGGAACATCAATGTGGGTACTAAATATTTCTTAATACTTTTTTTAATATTATTATTGAACATTTAGTTAACCAGTTTTTGTCCTTTATTGCTGATGCATTGCAACATTTTTAAAGTTATCTTGAAAACAGCTTTCATTAGTTAAAAAATAATATTTGTCTTAGCAATATTCCAGTCAATTATTTTAATTTATCCAGTCATAATTAAAAAAATTTCAGATTTGTAACAAATGAGTTAATTTGAGTTAATTGTCATTTTCTATTGAACAGAAGAAATCTTAATTTTGGTTAAAAAATTAAAAATAAAAAAACTTGATATTTTTACATAGTTGCTTATAATCTTTTTGAGACCTAAGTATTTTTATAACATTGCATGATACACTTTTTCTCTTTTTGAAAAGTAGTTGAAGTTGGTTTTAAAATTATTATTATGTACTTAAACATCGTCATAAATTAATGTAACATATGAAATCTCCTTAAAGATGCAATATCTTTTATTGACTTTAAAAAATGAATTTTTATGTTATCAAATTACATCAAGAATGTGGTTAGGAAACAATTATATAATTTTAATGCATTATTAGTATGCATTATAATATAATTGAGTGCACTATTATTTATTCCATTATAAAATGCTCTATTTTAATATTATATGATTTTAATAAATGATAATTCCACTAATAGTAGAATAAGAATCTTTTCCTAAAAATAAAAGAGATTTATTCTGCAAATTAGTGACAATGAAACAAAATTTTCTGAAAATATATAATTTTTTACGTTTTCATGCATTGAAAAGATAAGTGGATTACAAATTACAAAAAGTAATTTTTAACTCCTTTAAGCAAAAAATAAAAAATATTTAAAAAGAAAATAAAAATAATTTGTTGATACAGTAGAACTTTAGTCAATCGTTACTTGTGGGACTAATAGTTGCAAATGGTACATATGAGAAAATGGTAAATGAGGTTAATGTAAAATTATAAAATAATAATTTGAAAAATAATTATAAAATAATAATTTGACTAATAGTTGCAAATGGTATATACGAGAAAATGATAAATGAGGTTAATGTAAAGTTATAAAATAATAATTTGAAAAAGTATTTAAAGTAATGAAGAAGTAATTAATCAATTTACAATAAGAATAAAAAATTTTAAATTGAAAAATTATCTATTTAGTGCACAAATATTTTTGATGTAAAAAAAGGTAGTAAACATATTTATTTATTTAAAAGAGAAATTTTGTTTGAACACACTCTTTTCTCCACAATACAAATAATACATTTTAAACATTTGTTACACTTTGTTGTTGCTTTTCTGTAAATTAGTGCGAATACAGAAAATCTCCCATTTTTCAATAGCACTGTTTCAGGTCTTTTTTCTCTGTCTTCTTTAATATCAATTTGCTCTTCTTCAGTTTCTGCAATCAATTTTTCAACCAACATTACAACACCCGTTTTAAATTTTTTTTCAACTGACGCATAAACATATAACTTGACGCTTGACGTGTTTTTACCAGACTGTAAATAATTATTCATCATTAGCATCAGGAGTGACTTTTTTCTTCTCAAAATGTAAACTTCAATATTTAATTTTTAATGTCAGTAGAATTTCTTAAAGATAGATGCGAAAATCAGCTAGCTTTAAAAGAGATATTAATTAATATTAAAAAAATAGCATTTGTAATAGGTTCAGTTTAACAAGCTGATACATACAGGAAAGCAAAAAATGCTGTGACAGTGTATCGAGGTTTGACCATAAGTATTTAAAGCAGAATGTTACAATGTCAGCATAGCTTTTTTTTTGTAATAGTAAAAATAAATTTTTTAAAGAATTTTCCTTTTTGCTTATTATTATTGTAAATGATATATAAATTAACATTATTGTATGCAATAATTTTTATATCTTTTTGTTTCAGAGGATTGTGATGGAAAAGTTGTTCTGAAAGATGTTATTATATTATACAAATCGAAAAAGATGTTATATAGTTTATATCGCATAGGAAAGTTGGGCGTCAATGAAGACGAAGAAATAGTACAGGAGTATGCAAAATTAGTTGGACAGAAATGTTACAAAAGGATGATGTTGTATAGAAGCTGAATTATTTTAAAATGTGTTTTGTCATGTTGTAACGTTAGATGAATGATTTGTTTTGTATGCAAAGCTATATACCCAGATAACTTAAAAGTATGAAGAAAGAAACGTTTAATTTTGTTGTAAAATAAATAAGATATATATATATATAAAGAAGAAAGATAAAAGAAGATAATATAAAGAAGAAACTTTCAGAAGCCAGATGGCCATTTAAAATTTTAAACAGCAACGGAGCTACAATGTTAATAACCTTAAAGTTTGTAACAAGTTCCATTAAAAAGTGCAAAAAGAGCCTTTATAAACCATAAAAAATGAACTTAAAAGGTAAAATAGTGTTCTTTTAATAATTTTCAAAAACAAGTTTCATATTAATTTATATTGTAAAAAAAAATTATAAATTGTCACTTGTATTTATAAATTTAGTAAAAAACAGGATAATAAATGAAACAAATGTGTAATTTGTGAATAAAATAAATTGTAACTAAACACTTGATGAAGATAAATAAGAATTTTAATTACACTGTTCAAAGCCATTAGAATTGCATTGTATTATTAAATGTTTTTTTAATATTTTCTAAACTGAAAGATTCCTTACAATCCAAAATAAATGTTTTTTTTTATCTTAAAAAACTTTGTTCATTGTTTGTTCTTTTTTCACTTTGTTCGCTCGTTATTAAAAGATTTTAAATGAACAAAATCCAATGCAAAATTTATTCTAATTTCTAAGAGAAACATTAATTCACTAAAAAAATGCTCTTCTCTTAAATTGAAAAATATCATTCAAAACCTATTATAAGGGATTATAAAAGGGAAAAAAAAATAGAAACTGAAAAAATGTAAAGAAAGGAAGGAAAAAAAATGAATAAATACTCTATAAGGAAAAATCAACCAAATATGCAAAAGTAAAAAAAAAAAAAAAAAAAAAATTTTACTCCTGGTCATTAAAAAGTGAAATTAATTAGGGTGTTTTGTACCTAAATCGAAATTAAAATTCCTGAATTGTGATTAGTATTTAAACTGAAATGAACTTGTTTTATTAATTTTAGAAATTTATCTTAATCAAATTTAGCTATAAGATTACTTTTTTTAAACTGCTTCAAAATTAGAAATCTTTGCCCGAAGTTACTTTTATTTCAAAAGAGAACAAAAATTTATTTAGTTTAATTGGTAGCTTTTTATAAATTATCATACCAATTAGAACAAAAGTAAAATTACATTACTGATTAGAATTATAAGTAAAATAAAACTAATACCCCTAACAGTTAAATTTTGCAAGGGGTTTGCTTTCTTTAGGTAAACGTTGCTATTATTATGACATCAGGTACTATAAGTTGTTTCCCTTTTTTGTGTCCGATTTAGTTTACCACTTGAAATTGGGGAAATTTTAAATATACTTCTAATACATATATTTTTTAATTTTCATAAATGAAATATTATTGAATATTAATTTTTTTTTAGTATCTTTCAAAACCTGTGCAAAGCTGTTACCCATTTAAAATAGGGGAAATATAACTAGCATTATTTTAGAATTTTCATAAATTAAATATTGAATATTCATTTTCTTTTTAGTATCTTTCAAAACCTGTGCAAAGCTGTTACCCATTTAAAATAGGGGAAATATAACTAGCATTATTTTAGAATTTTCACAGAATTTTCTGGCAAAATTATCTGAAACTATTTCTGCTATCAGCATTCTTTAGAAGATAGTTAAGTATTACATACTTGCCCTTTTTTTTTTTAGTTTTTTTGATAAGGATCTTTGTTTTTGTGTAATTTACATTGAGAGAATATTTTAATATTGTCCAAATCAGTTCTCATTATTTTAAATGTTTATCAAATTAATTTTTAAAAAATTATAAAAAGGGGCAAATGTATAGTACTGAATTACTTTTCTGCACTGACTATTTGTATAATTTTATTGCTGTACATGTTTGAGAAAAATATATTGCAGTTCTAAAAATTGTCTACTGTAATCTCACATAATCTAATAAAGTGGAAGTATAATGCAGTTGAATAATATTCTATCATCAGAAGTGATGAAACATTTGAACTAAAATCCAAGATGGCCAAAATAAAAGCTTCGTAAATGTTGTAAATAATGTTATTTGCATTTGGCGCAAAATGCAAAAGCAGTTTTCTTCTCTTGTGAGATTAAACTTGACATTCAACTAAATCAAACAGCTTTAAAATAGTTTTTTTCTTTTTTTTTTTTGAACTTATTCCAAAGTGTTCTGATAGTGATAAAATTTGAAAAAAATTTTTTAATCACTTTCTCACTTAACTTTCATTTAATTCCTCAGTATTTAGATAAATAATGGTTTAGTTTCTTCTGAAAAAAAAATGGAAAATAGTTCTATTGGTAGAATTTAATAAAATGGTACCAATAAGTATTAATGTCTTTTTCATATTTTCGTGTTGGTTCAACACAGTCTTAATTTATACCAACGCATAAATATGAATGATGTACTCACGAAAAAGTGCTAAAAACTGTGCTTTACTGTATTTAAATTTAAGAAAAATATCTTACAATATGTATTGGGTGAGCTCTGTTGTTTGTAGTTACCAAAGTGTATTTTGAATCTCTACAACTTTCTTAATTGTAAGCATTCATTCGACAGGTAAATTTTTGAGCAATCTGCTTTATAAATTTCACACAACACTAAACTCTTTATTTGGAGAAAATTTTGTATTTAAATATTAAAAAAATATTTAAAAGAAATAACAGTTCATATTGATAACTTAATAGAAAATATTTGATTGATTAATATCAGAAACATAGAGTTGCACCAGTTGTACTGGTCTATATAAATTGCACTAATAAGATTCTCAATTTCGAGTGCATGTTTTATTCCTAGCGAATAGGAGAACTGCATGGAGCAATGTTCAAGAGATGGCCAAGACCCACTCTGGGCTGTCATGCCAATGATGATGATATTTTATATGAATTTTCCTTCTATAAAAAACGCAGTTTACAAATTGCCTTATAATGTTTCTTATTATTGATAAATGTTTGTTAATAAAGCATTTCGATTAACACTAAATCATTTGTTTATAAAAAATATATGATAATTTAATTCTTGTAAAGCAATTAAACTTTTCAAACTATTTACCTACAGCAAGGAGTTCAACAATTTGTAGCCCCTTCTACTGGCACAACGTAAAACTCACTCTCTGACTTTTTTAGAGATTATTAAACATTGCAAGTATTTTTCTTCGTATAAACATCCATTTTACTTGTTCATAAGATTATCAACTGGTGTAAGACTGGATAAGGTGGAATCTTTTATATGAGGTGATTGTCCCTTAGATTGAAATTTCTCAACCGGTTTTACTTGTCCACATTTTAATTGTTATTAGTAATTTTTTTTAATTATTATTTTGAATGTTTATATTGCTGGAAAATGTTTTTTTTTTGATCTTTGCATAATATATGTATGTAATTAAAATTATACAGAGTCTGAAGATGTGATATTACCATTTTATTTGTTATTAATAAAATGATCCTTATGATGTTATTTATATTGGTTTTTCAGTTATTAATTTGTCATTAATTGTTCAGTTATCAATTTCACTTATTAATTTGCTGTAACATATAAGGTTAGTACCAAATTCAAATGTTTATATTTTTGAAACACCATAATAAATGATATATGAAATTAAAGATCTGACAAATTCTGTAATAATAAACGCTTAATGTGTGACCTTTTTGTTTGATGATAAACATTTAATCTATAATCACATTCAATCCACAATAGAAATGACAAATTTCTTCTCCAGTTTTAAAAAAAAAGTTATGGAAGAAATTGTTTTCTTCCACCAAAAGTGGAAGAAACTCTTTTTCATACAGAGATATCAAATATATTAAAACAATTTTTAAAAGAAAAAAACTATTTGTAACTGCAACCTAGTTGAAATAATTGTAATAATTTCATACCCTCCAACTTATGAGGATTTTGAAAATATTTCTTTCTAGTGGTAGCGAACCAAAGTAGAAATTTTTAAAGCAAATAGATCTCTCATAAAACTTTTATCAGAACTTAAGAATCTAGCCATATGGCCTGCACTTTTATAAGTAATAGTGGACAAGTTACGCTAAAATTAATTTTTTTTAAATATTAAGACATTAATTTTGCTACCGTCAGAAAAGAAGATTTCTGAAACTACGGAAATTACGTAGCAGTTGGAGGGTATGTAATTTCCAAGCTCTTAAGTATATAATTTTTAAATATGTGAAAACTGAAAAACAAGAATTGTAAAGAAAATTTCATTTAATGAATTTGAAATAACTATTTTTTTTTTATAATTGAGTACAATAAAACCTTGTTTTATAATTATCTAAAACTGTTATAATAATCAAATTTTATTAGTTAATGAAATTTTTAATACATAATTTGTTAAAGTAACAAATTACGTACTAAACATATACAAATTACATAAGGAATTCACAATTACGAAAAAAAAAAACATTCTAATTTATGTAATCAAATACAGTCAAGTATCAATATTTAAACTGAATCTTAATATAACTTAAGTTCTTTACAAAATTAAATAATATGAAAAAAGGTTATTTTTTTAAAAAAATTTTGATGTGAAAACATATAACTTTCTGGTACTATACTAAATTTGTTTGAATGAAAGTTATTCTTATGATACTTATTGCTAAAACATTTGTATTATTCAATTTTAGTTTCTTCCGTTAGTATTTTGGAAGAGATAGGTTTCTTCTGGTTAAAAAGCCAACACCGATCCAAGCTTTTTGTAGTTTTACTTTGTCCGCAATGCTGCACGATTATATTCCTTAAATTTTTGCAGTGATTTCGGCATCAGTGTTTCATTAACTGTGTCTTTGACGTATTATTATAAAATAGAAATCGCATGGCTTAAGGGCAGAAGATTTATGTGGCCACGTGATTAAAAATAAATCATTTGTCACCTCCACTCTCAAGGTATTGTTTATGAACCAATGTCATCGAAACATTGCAAGAACTTAAAAAAACATATTTGTGCAGTATTGGAGCCATTGGTTGCGTGAAACGAACTTGATTATTGATTAGTAAATGCTTATCGTCCGACAAAACGGTCTGAACATTTATTATTGGGGGAAAATTATAAATTCTATTTTTTTTATATTGTAATATGCGTAATAGGTTAGAAAATATAAAAATCTAAAATCTGATAATTCGTTTGTTCTAATCTCTTGTAATCGAGCTGCGATAACTCAGTGTTTAAGACACAGAACTATCAACATGAAAGAGTGGGGTTCGATCCCCAGTATAGTGCGACTTTGAGGAGAACTCCAGACTGAAAGTCTGGGGATGTCTGCTGCTATGGTAACAAGCGAGAACACATTTCTAATGGGGGTGAAATGGAGGAAAGAAGGTGTCGATTGGTTTACTCACGACGACCTACGTTAAGATTAAGACAAAACTATTCACCCCATACCCCTATTCGAACTGACCTTTCCTCGTAACCATAGTACCCGCCATGACACGAGACGGGTGTCTGGAGGAGTTTTCCTGAAAGCCGCACTATATATTACCCGTATGATTTTAATTTTAGTAACGCGTTTGAATTAGGTTCGAGCAATTTCCAGAATGGAATTGTTTACAAAACACTTATCCTGACTGGCGTCGTGAACTATATGAAATCTTTATACTAACACCAATAAAAAAAATTCTTTTTCGTACAAAGTCTTAATTTAAATATAATAGTTTACATATCATCTTATTGTTACTTGTCATTAGTTAGCAAGTGCTTTAAAGTAGTTGGTAAATTCCACTCTGACACCTTGCTCTTCAAATTTTACTCATGGTCAAATTTTACTTTCGGTAGTTAGCCGACAATGATAAAGACTGCTAACATGATTATTTAATTTTTATGGAGGAACAGACATTAGCAGGGCTGCCAACTTTCATCGATTTTTGGGTAAACTTCTAGTAGTAGCTAACTTTATATTTTAATGTATAATTCTTTGCTTTGTTAATGTGATTTATAGTTATTACTATATGTAAATGATTAGAAGAAAATCATATGACTTCATGGCACTTCGTTCTAGCTCTTCTTTAGGGATCTTTTTAAAAAGTTGGCAAATTTATCAAAATTTCTGAAAGCTTTAGTTTTTAATTGTCTCCCACTCCATAAAATATTTGGCAAAAAGCGTTGTAGTTGGCAGCCCTACATTAGTGTCACCATAAAATATTAACCGTTTAAGCGCCAATATTCCATTTTTGGAACGTGTCTTGTTCTCAATCTTTCATTCTTAGCACTTACAATTGGAGAAGCTGACTATTCCTATCAACCACAATATATTAATAATATAAAATAATATATCCTGTTCTAAAATCGAGCAACTGCTATGTTTTTTTCAAAATCAAATTGGTTATTAATTGAATAAAATATCCATATAATTTTTATGCAAACCTGTTACCACTCTTTTCAAAAAAGCATTTCTCCTATTACTGCAAAATAAGAGTATGACAGTTGGTAAGTGCGTACATAAGCATTCATGCTTAGGATTTGAAATTACGGGACTGCAATATTTCGAAACTTAAGTGGTAGCCATTAGTAGAAAATATGTTAGTCTAAGAACAAATAACTTTTCAATTTTTTTATAAAGGTACTTTTTACATCACCACAAAATGTTAATTTTTCACCGACCATAATTCAGCTTCCATAAAAACCATAATTCAGCTTATTTTACTCAATTCAATTTATGTATATGCCAAAAAACCATTCGACAAATTTGGCTTTCACTGTAGAGCTAATAATTCAATTGCCTAGTGTAAAACCTAATTTTAAGACTGTTATGAATGAAATAATTAATACATTTCTTTCTTCACAAAAAATGTTTTCAAATTAATTTCTTTCTCTTTTTTAGCATATTCTCAGCTGTTAATGAGCTTTTCACGTTCTTGAAAGAAGTGTTTTCTTAGTGGTCACGAAATGTTAATTAAAGTCACATTAAAACAGACGTTCAATCTACATTTGACCAACACTTACGACACAATTACATAGTTAGCTGACCTGAACGTTCAACCTATTTAAATGCAATTTCAGTTAAAATCAATTTAAACTAAATTTGTTAAAACAAGAAAAGGATCAAGTATTATAAATGAAGGAATTTTGCTATTGCATGTAAGAATGAAATTTACCGCGAAACGCTGAAGAGTTGATGGATGCTGACTGCTACACTTTGGTTGATTTTGAGAGGAAAAAAAGGCTCATGACGGAACGACTAGTACAAAGTAATGTTACACATGTACTGAATTATTTTTACGTAGTGGTTTGCAAGATAAATTGTAATCAAATTTTTATTTATAACCGTCGTTGAACAGCCGACCCAAATTTTGATTTTACGGCTACTAATGTACAACTCTGTAGCCTTGTAATTTTGAACCTAATCCAGAAGACAAGGGAACTCTTGGATTAAGTATTGAGAGGAATTTGTTTTCGTGGAGGACTTTTTGATGGAAATGACCCACATTTGTGTTACATGGAGAGGAAAATCTCCCACGGTTAGCCTGACGGTAAGGGGACTTTAACCCATGATCTGTCTACCACTGAGGATATTTTTACGCCAGCACTGTGGTCGGTGCGAGCCGGGTTCAGAATTCGTATCGAACAGCCATCACTGAGATTGCAACCCGGTTCCATTGGAAGGCGAACACTCTATCCACTGAGCCACCATGACTTTAATCTTCTGATTGTAATAACATGAGCTTTCAGATAACAAAAAAATAAATAAATAACTTTACGTTAACTTAAATGTACAGAAATATTGTTGTTATTACAGCAAAGATTTTATTTTCGCTTTAACGATGGCCTAATATACATGGCCTAATATGAGGATATTTTTACGCCAGCTCTGTGGTTGGTGCAAGCTAGGTGAGGAATTGATATCGAACAGCCATCGCTCTGATTTGAACCAGGTTCACCTCTTTCGGAGGCGCTCTATCTCCATAGCCACCACTAAAAACTTCAAAATTGGAATAAATGGTAAATTCGAGGAGGAAAAAGTTAGAAAAAAATTTTCTTCGAACAGTTTCAGGGTCAAAGAGTTTTAACCACTGACGAAAATGCAAAAGGTACCTAAATATTACTCTACTCAAAATTTTATGAATTGAACTAAAACGGAAATTTTCATAAATGCAAAGCTATGTCTTTTTGAATTTGAGCTTAAAATTAGATTACTACAGTAAATGTCGAAGTTAAAGCAAAAATCTAGGAGAAGGATGTTGCAACTTTCGTAATTAAACATGGAGTGATTTATTTATTTTTGCTTACAAGGGGGAGGGGGAGTCTAAAATTTCCAAAAATGCGCTCACGTATTGTTTGGATAGTCCCTCAACCTTCTTTCTTTTATTTTTTTTAAAAATGGTTTTATGTGAGTTTTTTTAAATTTTTTTAAAGGAAAAAAGTTAGCACACTTTTTCTCTTTCCTTTCTCCCCTCCCCCCAATATTACTGAAACTTGAAATTCGAACTAAATAACAGGTACATTGAAAATTAGGAGTTTTTTTTTTATTTTCAAATTATTAAGAAAAGAACAAAGGAGAATGACAAAATATTTTTCAATACCAAACTTGTAAGAATACAAAAGTTAATTTGTGATTAAAATTAGTCTTTAATACCATCGAAAACGAAAAGAAATGCGTGAGTTAATTTTTTATAACTTCCTTAAAATGGATAAAATGTTCTGAAAATGATTCGCTTCATTTTAGAAGTAAGTTTTGATTTATTTTTACATTATCTATCATAGAACCTTCATAGTTGCGGACTTTTTACGCACAAGAAAGTCAAGAGGATTAAAGTTTTACAAAATTTATTTCTATTAATTAAAAGATCGAAGATGTATTATTATTTTACTTTCGGCATTTTTAAGGAAACAGTGCTGGTTACCAAACAAACATCTTCGGTTACATCTTAAATCTAGTCATAAAACTCATTTCGTATATTTAAAAAAAATGTGCCAATTATTATACTTGTCACATTTTTTGCTGCAGTTGGAAAAAATATTTTATTTTATATTTTATAACAGTCGTTGAGCAGATTTCTACAGTAAATGTCGAAGTTAAAGCAAAAACCTAGGAGAAGGATATTGTCACTTTCTTAATTAAACATGGATTTTAATTTGTTTATTTTTGCTTACAAGGGGGAGTCTAAAGTTTCCAAAAATGAGCTTACATAATGTTAACTTCTCTCTTTTATTTTCTTAAAATGGTATTATTGGAGTTTTTTTTTTTAAGGAAAAAAGTTAATAATCTTTTTCTCTTTCTTTTCTCCCCTCTCCCCAATATTACTGAAACTTATTACTGAAATTCCAACTAAAACAACATTTTCATTGGAAATTAGGAGTTTTTTTTTCTCTTTTTAAATTATTAAGAAGAGAACAAAGGAGAATGACAAAATATTTTTCAATACCAAACTTGGAAGAATACAAAAGTTAATTTGCGATTAAAATTACTCTTTAACGTCTTTGATACCATCGAAAACGAAAAGAAATGAGTGAGTTAATTTTTCATAACTTCCTTAATGGATAAAATGTTCGAAAAATGATTCGCTTCAATTTAGAAGTAAGTTTTGAATTATTTTTACATCATCTGGCATGGAACCTTCATAGTTGCAGACTTTTTACGTACAAGAAAATCGAGAAGAATAAGGTTTTACAAAATTATTTCTAAATATTTAAAATTTATTAAGTGTTCATTATTAAGTATTTTAAATTTTTTTACAACCGAATATTAAAATTTTTTTAAACCAAATATTTCGGGGAACGGCGTTTTTCGCGTTCCCTTTAATTACAGCACTACAACTATGCCAGAACTGTCTTATAGCTAAAATTTGAAATGCTTTCGTGCAAAAGAACAATCCAGATTAAGAATATTCGAAAGAATCTATCGCTTCGGTGATTTTAGTTGGGCCATGTAAAGTTGATTCGATCGTTTTCAGACAACCCTCTTTAATGGAATAATATGTAACAATTTCGTTTCTATGGAAACGGAAACGAAACTTCTCTGAGCTATGTCTTTGAATCTTATCCTTCATTTCAGCGATATCTTTACTATTAACTAAAGCTTCAGAATATTAGATTAAAAAATAAAAAAAACAATGTCTTCCATTATGGGAAGGGGTGGCAAGTCTCGCAAGAAATCTCGTCAAAGTCAGGGAACTGCTGAACTTACTGATGGCCTTAAAAAGTTATCCATCGAAACGACATCTCAACACTGGAATGAACTCTCAACGTTAAAAGTTGATACTTCAGATCAAAGACGGAGCAGTGTTCAATTAAGCGTCAGTGAAGATGATCGACGCCAAAGTTTGTTTGCTGATATCGAATCTCAGTTGACCAAAGTTCCAAGTCTGATATCAGCTGGAAGTCAAGACGGTTCTGATGGCAGGAAAGTACGACCAGATGAAGTGTTCACTGATAAGGCTAGAGCTGCTATGGTGGTCATCGGTACCAAAGATATCAAGGAAGCTTTGGATAAAAAGAAAGCCGAGGAGATTTTTCGCAAGACTCCTGAAGCCAAGAATGCTGCAGTGCTGTATCAACAAGCTCGTTTTCTGATGCATCAGAGTAGATTTAAAGAAGCACTCATATTCTTGAATAAGGTAAATACTATTTTTAAAAACAAAAAGTATATATAAAAGTATTTTTATATATTTATTTACGCTGTAACAGTCACTTTTTTTCTGATGCATCAGAACACTAGTTACGTTATACAGTCAAACGTTATATAGTGAAACTTCGAGGGACTGAAATTTCGGTTCACTATAACCGGGTGTTCACTATATCCGTAACGCAGGCAATTTAACTGTTGATTCCCAAACTCTTTCCTTTTATTACTCATTATTCAAATAAATGACTGAAAAATATTATACAGTAGCAAAAATTGTGTTATTTTTTTTTACTCTTCGTCTTGCGTACAAATTTTTTTTTGTTGTAATCTTTAGCTGATGAGCAATCCTCAGCATCAGATATGGAAACACTTTCCGACTCTCAGATAATTTTTCCTCAATTTCTCTTATTCCTCTTTTTAAAACTGTCTAACCCACCATTCGAGTACATAAAAGTAGTCCCACAAAATCGCTTAGCAAATTCATCGATATTTGTCCAGATACTGGAAGATTGCGGCTTCGAATGCTGAACCAGAAATTAAGAAAAAAATCAGTCGAAGACAGAAAAAAGTTCATTATATCCAACTTCTTCACCTTTTTGGTTCACTATATCCACTAAAAATAACATTATACAAGTATAGTAAGGCACGTGGCCGAACATTTCGTTCACTATATCCGGGAGTTCACTATAAACCGTGTTCACTATAGCGGGGTTTGACTGTATATTGAATTATACGTTATATATTGAATTATATAGTTATAAGAAGCACTTTAGTGTTAGAATCAAACAAATACTGTTTTTGTAAATAAAAAAGTAAGTGAGCTTTAGGTATAGTTTGTCTATAGAAAGTACTCCCCTCGCTACAAAGTCTTAAGCTGTCTGCGGCTATGGAAACAAGAGTTAGTATATTTCAAAAAAAGTAGCTTCTCTCTCCCCTGATTTCTTTTCTCTCGTCGACTCGAGCCGAAACATGGCTTAAAGATTGTTTAAGGTTTTAAAAAACTTGCAGGTAATTAGATCAGTAAGGGGCTAATAATAATTTAGGTTCTGGCAATCAACTGCGAAAGCACAAGAATTTGAAATGGTGTAAGAAGTACCTTTATGAAGAAAAAAAATCATAGTAGAGCATTTTGTACTTAGAAAATGAGATTTCTTTTATAGTGTTCACAATTGTACCAAGTACTCTTTTAAAATGAGGATTCCTCTTTTTCAGAAAAGAAACAATTGTAGCATCGGTCACATGGTCAGTCACTTTTGACATATTCGTTATATTTTTTCATTTCTTTTTAATAATTATGCCAATTTTCAAAAAAAAAAGTTAAAAAACGTAAATTAGACAGTAGTTTACTTTAATAGAAACAATCGACGGAGATCAGCGCGATTCTTTAATAACAGTAAGAAATGAAAGCGGAGGGGAAAACTATAAAAAATAGTGACTATTTTGTGATAAAATATTCAGGTATGCCACAGGCGACTATAAATGCAATAAATGATTAGGACTATCGATTCATTTATATTTATTTAATCTAATAAATAATTTAATCAAAACAACCACTAAAGCTTACATTATAAATTATTCATATTTAAAACGAAATCTATTTCTATATTTCAATTCAATAGCAAACTAAAAAAATTGCTAATTTCATTATCTGCAGAGATGCTCCAGACACACCAATATAGTTTAAAAAACGGTAAATGATTACAAACTAAATTTTGCAAATATTTCACTTATTTTTAAAAGGTTTAACATGATACAACTAAAATAAAGTGGTGAATTATATAAATCTACGAATTATTTAGAAATAACGGTAGATAAAAATCTACTAAATTGAATTTATTAAACCAAGAATCACAATTAATAAACTACCACTTGAAAATATTTATTCGCTTTCCGAATCAAGTTGGCATCTCTGTATCTGTCAAAACATTTTTGCTATTTATTAGTCAGTACTTTTTACAATTTCAGTCGCCCGTGGCGTGGCATACGCCCATAGCATATTGTAATAAAAGTCAGGACTAAGATTAGACTCGAATCATTTTAAAAATGTTCTGGTAGTTAGGAAGTTATTTAACCTTTATAAGGTCGTGGGAAGTATACTTCCGAATATATAAATATATATATAACGTCGTTGCCGAGTGGAAGGATTAAAACAGGTCTAAAGTTGGAAAGGAGGGTACAAAATTTATTTATTAATTATTAGACAACAGCAGTCATGAGAGTGTGTAAGAGTGAACATGAAAAGTTGCGCTCCTTGGTTATATGTTAGGGAAAATCTTGCAAAGTAAAATCCGTAAAATGTCTTAATTTAGGGAAAGAGGGAAATCTTAGTAGTTGCTATTGGTTTATGAAATAGATCGAACGTTTCCCACACTGAGCAAAGGGAAAAATGTCCTCCTGTTAATTAAATGCATACTTGAGCCAAAAATAGACTTAAGAACAGGATGTGGCTTTTAAAANTATATATATATATAATCTATGGTCATATAAACGAATGCTTAAGTTTTAAAGTTTTAATTACTTTTTATTTAAAATATTCTGATTTAGTTCACTACCACTAAAAAAAGTAATAATAATATACAACAGCTTCAAAAAGTCCCTTGTGGGAAGCTATTTTCTCACCTATGATTTGTATGGCTATCTGCTGACAACTTAAAATAAAAAAAATAAGTAAAAATAAAGGAGTTTGTTTTCACAAAGGCGGTTAACTGTAAAGGTTTGCGTAGGATGAAAAAGAGAGGCTAACACTGCGGAGATATTTTCTCTCCTGTATTATGCGTTATTTTATCTGTTTTTTCATCGAATTTACTCGCCATAATCACAGAATTTATAAATTCGGTTAAATATAAGTACAGAAGTTTAAGCTTATGGCCAATGTTTTACATTAGACAATCTGAAACATCAGACATCACATATGTAGTCGAGGCTTTAAAAGACAGCATTTATGCATTCATTTATGCATTCGTTGTTACAACTTTTACAAATCATCTTATAGTAAAACTGACAACATTTCTTTTAGGCAATTCAAGTTGATCCCAAGCGTAAGGAATGGTTAACAGACAGAAGTCAGTGTTATTTTAGGTTGTTACAGCCAGAAACAGCGTTGAAGTTTGTAAATGAAGTTCTTCAGATAGATCCAAAATATTTCCAGGTAAATTAATCCATCTATTTAAATTTTGACTCTTTGGACCTTTGATCATAAGTAATCTTTTTCTTATTTTGCTTTTGAAATATTCAAAAAAGACACATTATGTAGACAAGCATATTACGTAGACTTTCAGAAGATAAAAAGTCATTATATAGATGTACCAAAATGAGATTGATTAAAGCGAAAATATGACGATTCTTTTCCAATTTTTTAAAATAAAATTAAATTTTTCCGTGTCTCAGTACGAATTTGGTTTTAAAGAGTAGTCGATTTCTTTAATTATTATTATTTTTCAAAAACTCATATCTGGCAAACAAAAAGAAAATCATATCTTATCCTTGTGGCCGTAGCTGAGTAAAAATTTTCCCCATTTTGTGTATTCAATAATATTTTTTTTAATTTGAGCTGTGTTTCATTTCACTAGGAATATTACAAATTCATAATTCCGTTGTTGGTCCAAGAAGTAAGAGATATTTCGTACAGAGTTAGACAGTCTAGAATTTACATGGGCTTTTCTTCAAAAGAAGAATTAAAATTGATCAAACCCATAACTCAGTACACAGCGTGAAGAAAATATGTCAGAAAAAAGCACAATTGTTTAATTATTAGGATTTTTTTAAAGGTAACCTTATCTGTCCTAATATTTTAATAATCTCAATATTTTCATCTGATCTGAGATCTCAATATAGCAGGGTAATTTTTATAGCTAAAATGATAGTTGAAATCAATTCAATTTCGACAATGCCAAAATTATTTCAAACCCAGTCACATCAGCTCATCTTCATGTCCTGGAATCTTGTTTTATTCATATGAAGATTCCCTTGTTTAACGACATTAGTTTCTCACTACCTCTTCATAGCGCCGGGAAATGCATTTTACCCTGATTCGTCTCTCTCGGACACTGTGGTTTCACTTGTTTTTTTTTTTTAATATTTTGACTGTGGGCTTTTTTCTAGTTTGGTTTCTCATATTTATTTTCTATTTTCGTGGGCAACTTTTTGTTTTATATTTCTAATCACTTTTGCTTCTTCTCATTTATTCCTAGCAAGTCGTGAAAATGAGCGGCTGTTATTGAGCGTTTCAAATATGACGACGGTTATTTCCTATTTATATGTTTTTGAAGCGAATGAAGTTTTTATTCAGAAAAAGTGATAGTTAACAAAGAGAAATATCCGAAAATGCATCCATATTAAAATAAACAAATATGTATAAAGTTAGGTTTTTCATATCATTATTTTTGGTCTGGAATGGATTATATTTCATGTCTAAAAAAAGTCATTTAAAATTATAAAAAGATTTTCCAAAAACTATTTTTTTTTTAAAAGATCTCTTCGTTATATAACAATGTGGAAAATCACGAACAAACAAATGCGTCTAATGAGCCTTTTTTTTATATCTCTAGAATTTCAAAAGACTCCACAAAGAACATTTCTCCAGAAGATCTTTGATCCAGAAGAACTCTGATTTAAATATAACAGATGGAGAATTATGTTTTCCATTCTAAATAATCCTAGAAAGATTACAGAATAAGATCCTTATAGGAACTTCTAAACCGATAACCTAAAACTAATATTTTTGCTTCGATATCTTTTTACTAGGCTTTTGCTATAAGTGGTTTTTAAATCAGCCTACATTGAAATAAAAAAATTATGCAGAATAACTATATTGAAAAGAAGAATGGCTTAATTTTGGTTTTTATATGTATGAAATTAAAATAATAATTCCAAATAAGCAAGCATCATGCGATCATTTCGGTAATATAATTATAATGAAGCTCTTTCTTTAGTGTTGAAACATAGTGTTGAAAAATTAACACTAAAGCTTCCAAACTGGATCGCTATCCTAATCAAACTATTTGGACCATATTTCCCAGATTGCAGCTATTTTGGGAGTCAGAAATTCGAAACCGTCGAAAAAAAGCTCTGTTTATGTAGATAAAGTACGCTTCTGTGTCTGATTTCGTAACTTAAAATATCGTCTGCTCTAATTAATTAGCATATTTAAGGTCACCCCTTCAAGCAATTAAGATTAAGTTCTAGAACGTGAAGATCCGATCATTAGATTAAAAGTTAATCAGGGGGGTCCGTTAATTTTTTGAGCACTGCACTGTACATAAAAAAATCTTAACTTCGTCTGTTTTGACTTACAGGCACTGTTATTGAAAGGCGAAATTCTGTATTCTTTGTGGGATTTAGAACGATCGATGTTGTGTTTCGTAGCAGGCAAACGCTTGAGGCCCGACAATGAAGACTGCATTCGTGGCATTCATAAAGTACGAATGGCTCTCGAGGAAATTTCAGGTATCTTCTTGAAACACCTGTTTTTATTTTACCTATTTTTATTTCATGTATTTTGATACATGAAATAAAACATTATTATTATTATTTAATACATTATAAAAACATTATTATTATTATTTAATCATCCTAACTGGTAAGTTTTTTTAACTGACTTCATTGATGTTGAAGATATTATTATTAAACAGATATATTATTACTATTGATATTCTTATTTTTTATTTTTAAAATTTGCTTGGGCAGAAGCTTGCAAAAAGGTATTTTCTTATATTTAGAGTAGACGATTAAAGAAAAATATAAATTTATTTTGTACTATGTACAGTGGATTCGGGGCCTTGCACTAATAAGTTATAGGTTCCGACTTAAAAGACTTTTGGTTCCGACTTTAATAAATGGTTCCGACTTTGCTTTCTGTTATAAATAAGTTTTAGGTTTCGACTTTATGGTTAGCATCAAGAATAGTTTTTTTATTCGTGATTATGTTTCGGTTATTAATAAAAATTTCAATGACTATTTTGTTGTTGTTGTTGTCACTTTAAGGTGTAGTGACTGAAAATGAGGGTGAATTCATCGCTTGCTAAGGAGGCAAAGGTTCTAGGCATCGAGTGAAAGGTGGGCTTCCTATTCTCCAACTAAGAACATGGAACTAAAACTTTAAACTTACTTATTATTTTTTATTTTTATTTTATTTCATATTCTTTTAAAAAGTAAAACGGGATATTTTCCCCATTTCAGTGATTACGCATCACATCAACTAACCATGTTTAAGCACCTAGCCCGTTTTAGGATACTATCTTGTATCAGCTATGGTAAGAATGCCTCTTAATTTTAATCCTGGTCTGATGATGTGGATATCTCCTTAACTGGTAACCCTTTCTCCTAATTTCCGCACCATAAAATGAGAGGACATTCACTCACAACAGCTTTAACACACTTTTTACTGAGTCTAAAAGCCAGTTGTCTAGTCATCTGCCACGGGCGATTAAAAATGTGAGAAATGGTAAAAATCCATTTTATTTTTATATATATTTATTCTATTTAATTATTCAATCGTAACTATCACCATAACTTACCTTACAAATTATTCAGATATAAAACAAAAACATTCTTTGTACTTACTTTTAATAGTAAACTAAAAAAAATATGCTAGAAAAATCAACTAATTTTAATACATTTTTGCTTTCTCTTAGTCATCACTTTTTACATTTTTAATCACCCGTGGAATCATTGCTGCCAGGATCAAACTCACCACCAGCAGTATAAGTGGCAATTTAATCGACTATGCTACCGGAATGCTCATTTCAAGATTATATAATTAAAGAGTTTGCCCCGAGCATGCACACGCATTTGAACGCATCTGACAATACCTTTTTATTGCATAAGCATGCATCACTTAAATTATGCAGATTGTTTTAAATGAAAAACGGGTTGGTACAATAGAATGCTTTGTAACTTGTTAGTGAAGTTGACTCAGTGTTAACGAAACCTGTTAACCCTTTCGCGCCGACTGTCACAAACACGTGCCAGCACAAAACCGTATCAATCACGGTAAAAAGATAAAACTGGTAATCAAAGTAATTCTTTAGCAGTTTATTTGTGGGCGGAGTTATAATTGTTTGATTTATTTAATTCACCATTACATTGTTCAAAATAAAACTATCTAGTTATACCTTAAATTAACATTGATTATATATATGATTAAACTACCAATAATTAAAGTAAAAGCAAAGTAAGTCTGTCAAATTATCAACGACTACTTTTAAGTTACCGTTTTTTATTTAATTACATCCTGATTCTGATTTTGTACGAATGCATTTCTGAATCACCCGTCCCCAAGGGGTTACGAAACATTTCTTTAATTCTTTTCAGTTATTCATTCTTTCCTTCATCTTTTTCAGCTTTTAGAAAATCATCAATGAACAGAAATGCCAAAGGAAAGATCAAAAGAAGCAAATCGGTAAATCAAATTACTATCCTTTATGAATTTGTAATTAAGGAAACATTATACAAATATTGTAAAAACAACAGCCTCGAAACTGCAAGAGTGAAAAACAGCTTCTCTCTCTGTCTTGTCTTTCTCTCTCTTTGTTTGAACCAAGTTTTGTTTGAAAACAATTTGATATTTCTTTGTAATATTTATTACTTTAAAAAATATTTTAAGCGATTTTCAGAGCAAATGCATAATTTGGTAGGCCACGATATTTTTATCGTCTTGAAATATTTAACCAAGAAACTATATTTGCTATCACTTTGGTGGATTCGAAGCAAAATTTTGAAACAAATTTGGGCATGATATGTGAAAAATAACAATAAAAATTATAAAGCAACTCAAAAAAGACATGCTGGAGCAATACTATAGGTCACGAAAATTTTCGAGAATTTCAATTCAACCAAATTAAAAAAAAAAAAAAAGGGCTTTAGACTGAGGGTGCTCCCTGCAAACAAAGTCCCTGCTCACGAAGATGGCATTTAGGCAACTATGATAATGGCAGTAGGCCGACCGGCCTGGGAAGGGGACAGGGAACTGTCCTTGCATCAGAAAGGTTCCGGGATCGAATCCCAGGCAAGGTATGGATGTTCTTTCCTTCTCCGTACTATATGTCCTTACTGTGGGAGCGACGTTGGCCCACCTAATATGGTGCCACTGTAAGAGAGGTTAACAAAATCGCCCTGTAGATGCCTGAATTGACGGATGTTAACACAAGCGGGCAGTAAAAAAAAAAATTATGGCAGTAGTAACAAATTTCAAATGAATCTGTAACTGAGGAATAGGAATTAGTTTTCAAAAATAAGTGAGAATCCCTAAGAGAGATTTTCGAAAGCTGTAGACACCTTGTTCGTTCATGATTTTTCCGATTTTTGTCAGGAGATTTTTCTCTTTGTATTCAAAGTAATACTAACTAAATATTTTCATTTTCCTTGAACAAAATTGATTCTTAGTGATTTTGACTATCACTATTTATAATTAATATAAATAAATATATAAAAGTACAAACTATGTTTAAAAAAATATACTCTTAAAATAAAAATAATTATTGGCTAAAATTATAAATTCAGTTGTAAAATATCCACCACTACAAAGAATCGTCATTAGTAAACGTTTAAATCGGTAGCTATGTAATACAATCGGTAAACATACGTAAAAAACACATGAAAATTAATGAAGTGATTGAAACAAACACAAGGAAAAATACGATATATATGAATGTTATGAAAGAAACTAACAGTTTTGCAAGAAACATAATTGAACTATTATACTTTTTTTTGTTGCATTTCCTGATTAAAGGTGGCCGAGAAATACTCATTAACTTAATTGTATAAATACTTATAAAACCGGCATTAATTTTCACTAAAATTGGTTCTGATAAGAAAAAACTACAGTTTAAATTAATTTGAAACAATTATAGCGAAATATTTACAAAGCTAATTTCTTTTATTTTTCCTCCTGAAAAAATAATAATAGTAAGAAAAAAGTAATAAATAATTAAAGTTAAATTTCGCTTGTTTTGGAGGAAAAGTGCAGACACGTCTTCTATCGTGATGACCCTAAAATATTTTTAGAGAGAAATAATAATATAATTTATCTGAAAAATTTCCTCTGCAATGCATTTGAGCGCAAATTTTTTATAACTTTCTTATTTACAATTTTTTTGTGAGTTTTCATTGTTTGACAACAAACTCTTCTTCTATTTACAAACTTGTTTCTAGCTATTTCGTACCTAAATCAGTTTTATTTAACATAAAAATTTGTTATAGGCAAAAGAACGAATTTCGTTGGATTTGGCATTCTTATCTCCTGCTGGTTCATCAGATGTGGGAGGTTCGGGAAGCTTATATCCAACACCAAAATGCTCGACGCCTACAGACAGACCTTCTTCAAAATTGTCACAACAGACAGAAGTTGATAGAAGCACAATAAAAAGACCGGTTACAGCGCATGCTCGAAGAAGGATTTCTTTATCAAGTTATAAAGTGAATTCAAATGTAAGGTTATGACTTAGACGTAAGGAATCCTGAAATTTTTTTAACAGTTATGAAATATTAGGTGTAATAGACACATTTTTGTTTACGCTTTGCTTATTTATTATTAATTGTTTACAAAAATAAAAATGAAATTAAAACTTGTAAAATTTTGAATATTGGCAATAGGGAGGAGGCTAGTGCGGATAGTCTTCACAAATCTTTGCCGAGAAAGCTTACTTAATCATTATTTTAAAAGCTTAATCATTATTTTGAACGTTTTTCTTTCTTTTTAATTATGCATAGTTTAATTTAGAAGTATATTTTTTCAATAATCTTCAGGGGTCTGTTTAAAAGAAATTTGGGTCCGTTAACGGACCCTTACAAAATATCTTTTCATAAAAACGAACCCTTCACAAAATATCTTTTCATAAAAACGGATCCTTCACAAAATATTTTACTTAAAAACGGACCCTTCGCAAAATGAATCTTTTTTAATCGGACCCTTCACAAATTTGTTTATCTTCATTATTGTTTCGTTTGTTAATCAAATAAATCCTTCCCAGGGAAAAAAAAAGAAAGATGTAAACGAATTAAGATTCTTATGAAGCATTTGAAGAAGCGTCTTAAGAAGCGTTTGCCGAAGAGTTCTTCGGCAAACGCTTCTTCCATTATTCGTCCGAAATGAATATTCTGCGTTCAGCAGTATAGGCTAAATTCCAAATATTTCTATGTTACATCTCTAATTTAGAAGCAGCAATTGCTGCTTATTTTTGAAAATTTAATTCTTTTAAATTATAACTTTACAGTGTTGAGCATAATCTTGTATCTATTTACAATTTAAAAACTCCTTGAAGAAGTTTTTTGCAATAGCCGGACCCTATTTGCACAAATTCATAAAAGCAGGACCCTGTTTGAAAGAATGTGACTTAAGGTTTATTTTCTATTCACAAATTAAGAGTAATTTTTTCACACTTTTACGAAAACAGGACCTTTCACAAAATGTCTGGACAGACCCCTGATCTTTTTTCAATAATAATATTTTTTCAATAATCTTTTTTTTTCTTCAAATGCTGTCATGACCCTGTGTCATGAGGCTAGTGGGGAGAGAGTCCCAAGTCTAGTTCTCCCTTTAGATAGTAATGTTCTAGTCTCGAGTAAATAATCGTAAAAATCTTTATCATAAATGCTAAACCCTAAGAAAATACTTAAATTCCCCATTCTCCCGTTTTAACAAAAGATCTTTCTTGAATATTTAATGTGGTGGTAAATGTTACTCTCTGCTATTTCGTGTATGGTACAATAAAGTCGATTTACAATGATTTAGCCACCATAAAATAAAAGCATTCAAATACATAAAACTTGATAATAGTGAAAGGAAGTTTTTTTTAATTTTTATTTTTTATTTCTTAACTTAGACTAAATTCATTCGCTGCCTATGGCAAAAAACTCAGTTGAAGAGGCAGGTGCAGTGAGGCAGATACCTCGAAATTTACCTTTACATTAAAGCAAGTTTTTAAGAGATCTCAAAATTAAACAAACTTTGCTAACCTTAATTGTTATAACCTTAATTGTCACTTTGTATTTGAGATCAAGCATTTTGAGATGTAACCTCGTGTTAACTTGTAACGCAATTTTACCAATCTGTTAAAATTTGCAGAGAAATTTTGAGAGGTTAATAACAGAAATATTCTGTATGTCTACATTAGCCCGATCTTCCGTATTTTGATACGTTTCATTGTTTCGTCGAGTTTACTAGTATGGATATTCAAATGTATAAAACTTAAAAACACGTTATTCAATATAAAATATATGAATTCTGTTACTATAGTTGTTGAATGCACCTTACTAAATGCTTCTTCTTTTGTATGAATATTGAAATGAATTAAATTCTCAAATCAGATACTCGAAAGTGGATAATTTCGTGAAAGTAATTAATTGTCTTCAAGCGGTCGTGATCTTTTTTAAAAATTAAAAGTAAAACTCATTTACGCACGTACATTATTTTGAAATATAAAAAAATAAAATTGTATAAAAAAATATTCTTGAACATATATAAACTTGCCGATTTTATTAAACAGGATATAAGGAAATGACCAAAAGTTGTATCTTTGATTTAATAATTAAGAAATTGATTGAGTAAAATTTTGTTTGGGAATAGAATTATAAATATTTTTCATCCCTTTCATCATTTGTTTCCTATTTTTGTTAGTTTAGTCTTAATAATTCTAAATCATGTTTAGCTGGAATCACCAAAACGAAACGACAAGCTTCTCTCCGCAAGACCCAAAACAGCTGTCAAAAGATATACTGCTAAACCTTCTGATGATACGGATTCTGACTCATTCGAGGATAGTATCTTTTCAACACATCGGAAAAATTCAGATCTTTCATTAAAATCGAAACCCAGTTTCAGATTTTCAGGTGAGTAATTCAAGAGAAAGTAAGCTTTGTTTTCCTTATTTTTTCTTGATATTGGACATACCCTAGCCTACGCAATTTTTGTAGTTTCAGAAAGCATTTTTCTTAATTCCAGCAAAGGTAATGCATGCCAGCCAACTTTTACGTTCTTCAAAAAATTATTTCCTAGTGGAATAATTACAAAGATGCCAATTGCTATACTTTCTGCAAAAGTTTCTATTAACACGTTGAACACCACGCTAATTTTACATGGCTTGCCCGTCTGGCCAAACTGTAATTAACTACAAACTAAAATTGCAAATATTAGACAGGTTTTGCTAGTTTTAAAAGGTTTAGCATGACATATATGAAAAAAGTGGTGAGTTATATAAGACTACGAATTGTTTAAAAATAGAATTGAATTTATTAAATCAATAATCACGATACTTAAGTAAATTTTGAATAAATTTTCCGCAATTCTATAAAAGAGTGTAAATTTTATAGTTCTATATCATGTTATACGCTGTCAGCCAGCTGTTTTTCTCTGCCTATGTGAAAGGTCAGTGTCAGCAAGCGGTGGTAGACGCAGCCTAAATGTAATTTCAGTGTCAGCCACGGGTGACTGACGAGGCCTAAATGGAAAGTCCAGTGTCAGCCACCGATGGCTGATGCGGCGCTCAACGTGTTAATTAGTTTCAAATTAAATAGTAAAGCTTTTAAAATAAGGATAATTATGCCCACTCTTTAAAATGTCACTATGAGATAATTGCAACAAAAAAAGCGATATTGTTATATGTTGAACAATTTCAGCTTTAAGCCTTTAATTTGGAATAATTAAAAATGATAATTAAAAATGAAAACGTAAAAAATATTATCGAGAAGGCATGATAAATATTGTTTGTAATCCAATATATTATTAAATTTGTGATTAAAGAACTGTTTGCAGGTTAATACCTTATAATCTTCGGGATCTTTTTGTTAATGATCCTATTATTTAATTTTTTTACCCATTGAAGTGATTTTGTCTAATGCTTGAAACGATAAGACGAAATATATCGTCTTATGATGTATAGAGATGCAATTTTTTTTTATCTTAAAAAGTATTTACGTGATATATTTGTACATTTTCTGTTATTATTATTTTTTTTAAAGAATTGAACTCTAACACTAGAACTATTTTAGATTCTGACAATGATGAATTTTACAACCTTAGTGAAAGAAGTCATAATGATTCAAAAGAGATATTTAAAAGTGAAAAGCAGAGAAAAATACGGCGCCAAAAGAATGCTCAGAAAGTGAAGTGCCAACCACAGAATTTAAGACCAAAAAGCTCTGTTGCACCAAGAATTGCACCATCCCTAGGAAAGGATAGAGCCTTTTTAGAAAACATTTTGAAAGATAAAGGTAACTCTCCTTTGTATTTCACTTTGGTCTTTTGAAAGGCTCAAAACACAAATTTATTATGCACTATAAAAAAAAAGAGGAAAAAGAACTAGCCTATTTTATAATTTAATTACAAAAATTTGTGGCAATTGAGTGATAATATAAAAGCAAAAATTAAGTTAAAACCGTATTAACACGTTAATTTATTTTGAAATAAAATATCTCTCTTTTGTATAATTTGAGGGAAGATTAATTTAACCTTTTTTTTTTATTTTAGCATTTTATGAAATGTTTAAATAAGTTTATATTATCTTATAAAGCGATTATTCTATTATTACATAAATAAATAAACTAAAGAAAGAAAAATAAGTTAAATTTAATATAAAACTAGTTAAATGAATTAAAGCAATCATAAATTAAATAAAGCAAAAAATGATATACTTTGGAATAGCTAGTTTAAAAGCTTTATTTTAGCTCTAACAATACATAATAAAATCAGAAACCATTTTGAAACCTATTTATTTTTTTAGTAATTCGTAAACACTCTTCTGTTATACGCATAATTCGTAAACACTTTTCTGTTTTCTGTGAATTAAGGCTTTAATAAAAAAAGAAAGGTAGAAGCTCCTCCTTTCTGCCGAAGCAAATTTGACATGGATAAAACGAACATCATTTCTGAAAACATCAATCGTGGTTTTTCAAATTGTGCTAACAGTTTCGACATGTAAAATCAGTTAAACTATTTGCTACTGCAAGAAAGATTGTTTGTTTCAATAATTCTGCCCAACCTTTGTACTGTAGGAATTTAAGAAAGTAAAAAAAAAAAATCTGCGTTTTTTTAACTATATGAATACTATTATATTATTAATAATTGAGCTATACTCTAATAATAATAATTAAAAAAAACTACTACTAAGAAGAGAACTGCATTAGAATTGTATTTTTTATATTTATTTAGAAAAAACATATTTATACATTAAATCAAATTGCCTTTAATTTTCCTAATAAATGTTAAAAATTAATATTAAATGTTAGTTGAGAGGCATCAATAATTAATATCTGCAAGACATTATAATATGCCAGGGGTGGCCAAGCTCCTTGATAGTCGAGTCATTTTTCAAAATTTGAAATTTTTCACGAGCAGCATTTAAAAGGTATGCAAAAAAGGCATTTAATTTTTTTTACATAAATTATATTTATTGAAAACATATAAGTAAAAGTACAAAATATGTGTATTGAATTTAAATATTAGAAATTAAACACATTTATTTTACTTCTGTTGATAATTCTTTAAAATACGGTGAATAATTGGTGACAGCACTTCTCAGCAATTCCATGAGATGCTGGTTAGTTAATACTGATCCGCGTTTGGATTTCACGAACTTTAAAGTGGGATAAAATGATTTACATAAGTACGTTGTTCCGAATATTGAAATAATTCGACAAACAGCCTTTTTCAATTCATGATACTTCGATTCTGGTATAAATTTCCAAAATTCAGTCATCGACGTCTACTTATATTTTAATTGTAGAGCTTGATCTTCTTGCATCTCTATTAATTCTAATTCTCCAGATGCTTTTTGTGTCATAATTATATTGGAAATGGAAAACTCACCTTGAATTTAACAACGTTGCACTTAGTTTTTCATATTTCTTCTCAGTAATTTAAAAGACATTTTGAAACACATACGGAACGATAATAATTTTTTCAAAAATAATAGCACAAAAATGAAAAGGGAACTCGGGTACATTTATCGAGAGCCACAAATAATCCTTCAAACAGCCGCATGTGACTCGCGAGCCTCAGGTTGGCCACCCCTGTAATATGCTTTAAAAATTATGAAATTAATTTGATAACCTGGGGAACAAACTTTTTGTTGTATTCTTACAAGTATTTGATATTGCTTACTTCGCGTGTGGGAATTTTATACCTGAAATTAGTTTTGATCTTAAAGCAACAGATTTTTTTGAATGACATTTTTAGTCTTATTTTTTTGTCAAAATGTACAAGTTTAAAAACGTTATATGTAACCGAAGGCCACTGAGAGCAAGAACACGGTAAGTACAAGCTTTATTTTTGATTGCGAAGACAATATAATTGTTTCCATTAGAGATGAAATTGGCATAAATGTATCTTTAGCCCTTTTCTGGTCTTAAAAAGTATTAGAAAGGCTTCATCAACTTATTGTACTATTTAATTTAATCTGCGCCTCACTTACAATTCGAGAATCTCAACTTAGTACTTTGTTAATGTGTCAAAAACTGCAATTTTGTTTTATATCTGAAACTATTTAATTTCTGTAGAAAATAAAAACGGTAGTTTATTAAAATATACTTATATTGGTTTAGTTTAAAATTAGACACTTTTCAGAATCTGTGTATAGATCTTTTTATTTCCAGGTTTAAAGAAGGCAAACACCATGTATACTAAGCGAGCTCTGAGAATTGCTCGAGATTTGCACAAGTTTGTATCTGAAAGGGAAATTTATTGGAGAAACAGAGAACATTTTATACGATATTCAAAATCAGAAGACGACAGTTTTATTTTTTGAAATACTACTTGTTATATAAATGCGCAATACCGTGCAAATGCTATAAGATATGCATATATATGTATATCCTAGATGGAAATTTGTGAAATGAAATTATTAATAGCCTGTGTTGTATCCAAACAAATGAAAAATCAAAGGTCAATTAAAAAAAATACAAAACTTTTTATTTACTATGGAAGGTCTTAGTACAACAATATGGTAAATCCAAGCTTCTTTTCTGATTGCGGAGACAATATATTTCTTTAGCCGGTTCCTGGTGTTAAATAGTGTTAGAAAGACCTAGTTCCTAGATGCAAATTTATCGAGTGAATTTTTTTAATTTTCCATTGTATCCCGTTGAGAATAAAAACAATTTTAGTTCAATTGAAAAATGTACCAAATATTTTATTTATTAAAGGGCTTTGCCCCTCACCCCGTTAGTTTCGCTCATCAACCCTAGTGGATGCTGCCCATTCATCATTGGAGACGGACAAGGAAGAACCGTATGTCCATTTTTTAAAATTACGATTGAATTAGGCCACCTGTTGCATTTTAGGATCACTTAATTTCATCAAATCAATAATATGGAAAATCGGTTTCCCCCCGAGAGTTATTACACAGTGAGATGGGCCGTGCTGTGGGAGAGCAATTCCTATCTGTACGCAAATTAATTCTTTCTCAAAATCCCCTTTTTTTTGGACTCAAACCGTTTTTTATCCTTGATCTTTTCTTCTTCTTAAACTTCGATAAAAAGGAGATCATTTTCTTTATGTAATTATTGTAATTTAATAAAAGCATATTTTATAAATTTGCTTATCGTAACAAAATAAAAGGATAAAGCTGGGTTTGAAAAATAATGATCTGTACTTGAAAACAAAAATTAGTAACTTAGGTTTACAGAATGTACGACACAATAAGAAGTAATTTTACTTTTTAACAATATATAACGATACTCTTTCTATTACATAACAGCGATTGTGTAGGATTGACATATAGGAAAAAATATTGTGAAACAAAAAACAAATAAAATTTTAATGTTTAATTTAACGAAAAAATCTCACCTTGTGAGGAAAAACACAAGAAAATTCAACTAAAAAGAAGGAAAAGAATGTGCTACTGATTCTTTAAAAAAACAAAGAGAAAAACGTGAATCACCAACACAATATGTCCTTTTTTAATTTCATGCTTTTTGCCAACCTGGTTAAATATGACTTCAACAGCAATTTAAATTATGTTTTTTGAAAATAATCGTCTGCTACTATGTTTTTGAAAATAATCGTCTGCTACTATGTTTTTGAAAATAATCGTCTGTATGTTAATCTTCAACAGCGATATATAATCTGACGATATCTAATCTCTCTCTCTCTCTTATTTTCTATTTATTCATTATTTTTATACTTTTGACATCAAGTCGCACGCGTGGGCTTATAAAATAAAAATCGCGAGTGAGGTAAATTTCTTTACAACAATGGATAAATTGTTATTAAAAGAAAAGAAATGCTTCGAATGGCAATAACTTTCCAGCAAATAGGAATTACGAAAAAATAAAAAGAAAAAAAAAACTCTCGTTCTGTTTATCGTTATCTCGTTAAGTGTCCATCAGCGCTTCAAATTTCAATCTCTCTGGTTGAATTTTATACTCTGTAGTTACAATAGATCTTACTACTGTCCAAGATTTATTTTCGATTATAGGAACACTATAGTTGTTACCATTAGCTTTTTGGTATGTGTGCCTAAATTTAAAACATGGGGGGAAACACAAATAATACTAATATAAACAAACATGTTATGTTTTTTTTTATCTATCTGTGTCTGGGGGGGGGGCAATAAAAAAGGCAAGGAGAAATAGCGGCAAAAAATATTGAAAAGTTACAACAAGGAAAAAAGGGGTGACCAATAGGGAAGAAGATAAACTTAAACAAAGTAAGCAAACAAAACATGAGTGATAGGAAGCAGGTGTAGAGGAGGCAAGAGGAGAAATGATAAGTTTTACTGGTATATACAGTCGAACCTCTATTTAACAAAGTCGCTAAATCCCGATAATATGTTCGTTATATAGAAAATTCGTTAAATAGAAAATCATCTATTGAAATACTTAAACGGCGCAAAACAGGTTCCAAATTCATAAACACTAGACATAATATTAAAATAGCAATGGATACACCTTTATATAGTAAAGTAGTATCTACTATTTATTTTATAAATCTTAATCATAAAAGAAATTTGCATGGAAAGCAAGAATAGAGCAAAACATTATCCAGTGTTACACAATCATGCTATATACATTTTCAACTAAAAAAAAGCTAAATTTATGTATAAAATTATAGCTGCATTTATTATAAAAGTAATTTTAAACATACATTACCACATGCGTTCTAAAGTTTAATTGCTACTGATAAAATCCGTTAATTTTCTGGTTTATGCTAGAGTTTTTTGTTTGAAATGCGGAGAAAAAGAGAAAGTGATTTTACTGTTTTCTCTATAAGTTAAGTGACTTTGAAATTCAATTCAAGGTTATTTCCCCCATAAAATGCATTAACAAGTTTAAAATGTTCTGAAATATTTTGGAAAATGGCGAAAGTGGATCTCAAAGAAAAGTTCGTTAAATAGCAAATTCACTTCGCTATTTGGAAGTTATTTTACGAAGAAATTTCCAAAATGTTCTTGGTTCCTTGAAAAAATTCGCAAAATGGAAGTTCGTTATACAGAAGTCCGACTGTATATCTGGAGGGTAAATTAGTTATTTTTTAAAAATATGCTAACGACTGGTTTAATCCAACCTGGTTAGAAAAAATCGTAAGTTTATTGAAATAACGAAAAAAAAAAAAATACTCGTTTTCGAACTGAAATATTTATTTACAGCAACGAATTAATACTATGACCCTTCAACACTGAGAAACTTACAGAAGATTGAAAATCAAGGGAATACGGAATATATATGGAATACCAAATTGAATTTTGATCCTGTTCTTTGAAATTCCACAACTTCAATTGTAAACAACTGGACGATATGTCAGTTGATGCAAACATTTATACTCTGATTCATTGATTTGTTTCTTTTCTTTATTGTTTTTTCTTTCCTTTCCCATTTTCTTCCTCACCATATCAAGAACCATTCATTAAAATAGTTGACAAAGCTTTGCTATATTTATAAAAATTTTAAATAGCGATAACTGTTGCCCTTATCCTCTTTCCACAAAATTATAGTTTTAAAAATATTTAATTATAGGTAAAAAAATTATTATTAATTTAAATAAAAAACGAAGTAAAAAACTATTTTTGAAAGTAAATAATGCGAAATTAGGCTTTATCTACAGTAATATTTGGTCCTGATTCTTACTGACAGCCATCTCTTTAAACACTTTTTAAAAATTAATCAGTGGTTAAAATATAATTTATCATTTCCAAATTCATAGTGTTATTTGTAGCGAGACCAGAAATACTTTCTAATTGATAGCATGTTGTAAATGAAGTTTACTTAGTTTAAGCAAATTTTTAAGAAACCTAACCTTGTAAAAAATTAAGAAACATTTATAATATAATTAATTAATGTTAAAAAATTAATAATCTCACAATATCACGACTTTCTACATAATTACAAATAATTCATTAATGGAATTCTTTAAAGGTAGTGAATATTTCACTTGAAATAACGAATAATTATGGGAAGTCCCTCAAAATTGCTAATAACTCATATGGCATAACCAAATAGTGTTTTTATATCTTATTTTATATCCTTTGTTGAACAACCAACTCAAGTTTTGGGTTTGCGACTACTAATGTTCAACTCCGTAGCCTTGTAATTTTGAGCCAATCTAGAAGTCAAGGAATCTCCTGGATCACTACCTCCAGAGGTATTGAAACCAAATAGTGTTGTGACTTTATTAATCGTAACGTTCCACAAAAATACAAGTAACTCATCCGAAATTGCTTAATAGTATTGTGACTTTCTTCATCGTAGCAAATAATTTATGTGAAATTACCAAAGGTATCACGGCATTCCCCAACATAGCAAATAATTCATTAAGATCAACCTAATAAGATCTTGATTCTCTTCTACATAACAAATAATTCATACAGGATAACCAATAGTACTATGACGTTCTCCAACATTGCAAATAATTCTCATGGAATAATATAATAGCATAACGACTTTCTTCATCATAAGAGATTAATCATGTGACATGTACATAAACCAACGGTACCGTGACTTTCCCCAACATTGCAAATGATTAATATAGACAATGCTTATATAGGTATAGTAAATAATTCTGGATGCACGGACACCCTTAAACGCAGTATCGTGACTTTTTTCTACACTGCAAATAAATTCATTGGGAGCAAACCATATAGTACTGCGACTTTCTTGTACATTGCAAAAATTCGCATGGAACATTCATTTATATTTATTTAATTTTTATATTGAACAACTTATTAGTATTATCATTTATCTCTTATTATTTATTATCGTTACCGAATAATATCTCTCTCCGTATTTCAAAGAGAAGGATCCCGACAGTAGGTCTCCCAACGAATAAAGAAATGGAGCATGTTTAAGAGCAGATATTTATACCATCAAGGATATAGAGGTAGAGTATTCGACGTTTTCACTATTCAATCCAGTTCTTTTTTTAAACACACATTCCCCGAAGTTTTCGAAGCCGATGCAGTGGATAGACGTTTTAGTTCATCTCTAACAACTTAACCTTTCGAACAATTTACTTGGCCATGAATTTTTCCTGCTCTCGGAACAATATTCTCCTTTGGCGTGTCTTTTGTTTTATTGTTTTAGATGGTTTGCTGCCTCTATTGAAGTACAAGACCTCATTTCTTTAAGGAATCAGAAATTTAAATATTACAGTGTGGATGAATTTGAATTTCACATACAAGAGAGCAATATTCCTAATTATTCTGGAGCTATTTTGATTAGTTACTGCTAACTACTAATCGTATTTTCAAACTTTTACTATGAATCCTATTTCCAAGAGCTTGCAAGGTTTCTGTTAAAATTATGTTAAGTTTGGTCATAAAAAATGTGCAAATTTAAATAATGTAAGAAAAAAAACTTATAATGTATTTTTGTTTAAAATTTTATAGCTATGCTAATTTGATATGTCAATGCGCCATGTAAAATACAGAATGTTACAGAAATGACTAAAAAAAAAAAAAGTTAGAACGAATCGCACGACAATTTTGAATTTATTTATTCGAAAATTTTGAATTTATCAATTAAATTATAGAAATGAAGTTCAATCTCATATTATAAATAAGGATTGAGCAACACGTGTACAGCTAAACTAAAATTCAAGATCTTGTTTTTTTCTAAATATAGTTTCTTACTTTCTTTTTATGAATTATCTTCTTC